CCCAAAAAACCCCACAAGAACCAGGTTGGAGTTGTTCGGTACGCAAGAGGACCTCTGAGCTTGCCTAAAGTGTTTTTCCAGCCCTTTCTTCAGCGCCACCCAAAGAGGGATGTTGGGGGTCCCAAAGAGCACCTACCTTGGAGTGGCAGAGGACACCGAAGGCGACCAGGACCCCGGCCGGGAGCAGGACGATGCCGAAGGTGAGTCCCACCAGGAGCAGGTTGAGGCTAGCCACCAAGAGGTTCTGGAGGGTGACCAGGACGGCACAGGCCCAGCAATCTAAAGACCCCCGGAGCTCCAGGGACCCTTCACCTCCCAGGTAAGGAGGGGGCGCTGGAGGAGAAGAAGACCCCGAAGTCTCCGGCAAACGGCTGTCCGAACCCATCTTCTCCTTCAGGATGGATGCTTTCCTTCAGCAAGCCCTTCAACAAGTGGCACTGAGCTCCCTTGCATCCTTTATACTAGGTCCCATTCCTCCCTCCCTCTGCATCCCTTTGCCCTGCCTTCTTCCCTCTGGCCCAACCTCCATCCCTCCCTCCTTGTGGGATCATCCAGGAATGCCATGGCTTGCTTCTCCTTCCCCCTCTGGGCCAAAACCAGACCCCAGTCCTCCTTCAGGCCCCCTCCCACCCTTGTCCATCCCAAGGGATGCAGGCTCATTCCTTTAAGAAACAGAGGGATAAAGGAGAAGGGTTCCTCCCTTGCACTCAAATTCCAAAGATGCTTCTCCTCCCTTTTTCGCCATTCATGCCCTGCTAAGTAAGCCCCATGCGCTGGCCATGCGCTCAAAGGACCTTCCAGGGGGGGGGGGGGGGGGGGCAAAGGGATTCCTCCCTAATGCCGGGAGCCAAGCAGAGCCACCCACATTCAGCCCCAAATCGCCACAACTTCACCTCCTCATCCACCACATCCCAATCTCAATCTAATCTATTGTATATGCATACAATATTTATAATATAATGTAATCAAGGGCGGCTCAATCCGTTACGCAAAGTAAGTATTTGCAGTATAGTTGATTTTGTCCAGGGGCGCTCTTGAGGCGCTCTTGGGGGAAAATAGACCTTGACATATGCGAGTTGTAGTTACTGGGATGTATAGTTCACCTAAAATCAAAGAGCATTCTGAACTCCACCAATGATGGAATTGAACCAAATATGGCACACAGAACTCCCACGACGAACAGGAAATATATATATCATTGATTGGTTTGGGGAGGGGGGAGGCAAAATACTGTTTGCTTCCCATTGAAAATTACCTAGGGCCGCCTCTGTAGTTACTGGGATGTATAGTTCACCTACAATCAAAGAGCATTCTGAACTCCACCAATGATGGAATTGAACCAAATATGGCACACAGAACTCCCACAATGAACAGAAAATATATATCAGTGATTGGTTGGGGGGGGGGGGGTGCCAAAATACTGTTTGCTTACCGTTGAAAATTACCTAGGGCCGCCTCTGAGTAGGTACCACCCACAAACGAACATTACATTTTTATTTATATAGACTAGCCATACCCTGCCACGCGTTGCTGTGGCCCACATGAGGGTTCTGTGTGGAAGGTTTGGCCCAATTTTATCGTTGGTGGGGTTCAGAATGCTCTGTGATTGTAGGTGAACTATAAATCCCAGCAACTACAACTACCGAATGTCAAGATTCTATTTTCCCCAAACTCCACCAGCGTTCACATTTCCATATGCACCTCCTAGGTCATGTGGCCGACATGACTGCATGGAGCACCGTTTACCTTCCCGCCAAGGCAGTACCTATTGATCTACTCACATCTGCATGTTTTCGAACTGCTAGGTTGGCAGGAGCTGGGGCTAGCACTCGGAGCTCACCCCATCCTGTGGAATTGAACTGCCAGCCTACTGGACAGCAAGTTCAGCAGCTACATAGTTTCACTCTTTTGCCACTGCGGCGCAAAACAGTGGTGAATTATTCATTTTTGGGCAGTGTTTTTCAACCTGGAGGTCTGGGTCCCTTTTGGGGTCATGAGGGGGGTGTCAGAGGGGTCGCCAACGACCATCAGGAAACACAGTGTTTTCTGTTGTTCATTGGGGTTCTGAGTGGGAAATTTGGCCCCATTCCATTTTTGGTGGTGTTCAGCAACTACAACTCCCAGAAATCAAGGTTTGTTTTCCCCAAACACCACCAGTGTTCACATTTGGGCATATTGAGTATTCCTGCCAAGTTTGGTCCAGATCCATCATTGTTTGAGTCCACAGTGCTCTCTGGATGTAGGTGAACTACAAGTCCAAAACTCAAGATCAATACCCACCAAAACTTTCCAGTATTTGCTGTTGGTCAAGGGTGTTCTGTGTGCCAGGTTTGGTGCAATTCCAGAATGCTCTTTGATTATAGGTGAACTATAAATCCCAGCAACTACAACTCCCAAATGTCAAGATTCTATTTTCCTCAAACTCCACCAGTGTTCACATGTGAGCATATTGAGGATTCGTGCCAAGTTTGGTTCAGATCCATCACTGTTTGAGTCCACAGTGCTCTCTGGATGTAGGTGAACTACAACTCCAAAACTCAAGGTCGATGCCCACCAAACCCTTCCAGTATTTTCTGTTGGTCATGGGAATTCTGTGTGCCAAATTTGGTTCAATTCCATCATTGGTTGGAGTTCAGAATGTCTTTGATTGTAGGTGACTATAAATCCCATCAGCTACAACTCCCAAATGACAAAATCAATCCCCCCCCACCCCCCAACTCCACAAGTAATCAAATTTGGATGCTACCTCTGAGAATGCTTGCCATAAATGCAGGCGAAACGTCAGGAGAAAATGCCTCTAGAACATGGCCATATAGCCTGAAAAAACCTACAGCAACCCAGTGATTCCGGCCAAGAAAGCCTTCGACAACACTGCTATAATTCAATAAATTAAGAACCAACAGCAATGCATCATTGACCCCAAAGACATGCCCTGGAAATCTCAAGCTTGCTTGTATTTTGCATCTTGCTCATTTTCAGATTCGATGTTTCCTCGTGGACCAAGAGAGTAATTTCTGGCTTTTGTTTCCTATATGGCGATGGTTCTTAACCTGTGCGTCCTCAGGTGTTTTGGCCCACAACTCCCAGAAATCCCAGCTAGTTTGCCAGCTGTTAGGATTTATGGGAGTTGGAGGCTAAAACATCAGGTTGAGAACCACTGCTGTACGTTTCCCATTGGCTCTTAATGAGACATGCCGCATTATCACGGGGTGTCTGCGCCCTACACCACTGGAGAAATTACACTGCCTAGCCGGTATTGCACCACCTGACATCCGCCGGGAAGTAGCAACCAATAGTGAAAGGACCAAGGCAGTGACATCTCCAGCCCATCCCCTGTTTGGGTATCAGCCAGCACGTCAACGACTTAAATCAAGAAATAGTTTTCTAAGATCTACAGAGACACTCGCTGGAACACCTCAGCAAGCGAGAGTCCAAAAGTGGCAGGCTCAAACCAGAACCTCAATTAATGGCTGATACCAAATGAGAGACTCCCCCCTGGGCACACAGAAAACTGGCGACTTGGAGGGCGCTGAACAGACTGCGCTCTGGCACCACGAGATGCAGAGCCAACCTTCAGAAATGGGGCCACAAAGTGGAATCCTCGACATGCGAGTGTGGAGAAGAGCCAACCACTGACCACCTGCTGCAATGCACCCTGAGCCCTGCCACATGATGCACCATGGAGGACCTCCTTGCAGCAACACCAGAGGAATGCTATTTTATTTATTTCTCGTGTCAGGGCAACCAGTCAATTATATTACATTTCTAACAGAACAAAGCAAACAAACAGAGAAAATACAAAATGTGTGAGTTTGGTAGTTGATTAAATGTCCTTTGACCAGTATTTGGCCACTTGGAGTGCTTCTGGTGTTGCTGCAAGAAGGTCCTCCATTGTGCATGTGGCAGGGCTCAGGTTGCATTGCAGCAGGTGGTCAGTGGTTTGCTCTTCTCCACACTCGCATGTCGAGGATTCCACTTTGTAGCCCCATTTCTGAAGGTTGGCTCTGCATCTCGAGGTGCCAGAGCGCAGTCTGTTCAGCGCCTTTCAAGTCGCCCAGTCCTCGGTGTGCCCAGGGGGGAGTCTCTCATTTGGTATCAGCCATCAGTTGAGGTTCTGGGTTTGAGCCTGCCACTTTTGGACTCTCGCTTGCTGAGGTGTTCCAGCGAGTGTCTCTGTAGATCTTAGAAGCAACCAGCATACTCCAAGTGGTCAAAGGACATTTAATCAACTGCCAAGCTTGCGAACCCTCTTTTGTCTGTTTGTTAAAAATCTGTTAAAAATGTAATACAATTGTCTGGTTGATACTGACACGATAAATAAAATAAATACTCTCCCATCGGACTAAGGCGACTGATCTTCTCAGTCTCCGGCTTTGCAACTTCTTAATGCAAACTCTCCGAAACCAGCAACGAAGGAAACGAGCGAAAAAGACAGAGTCTGGTTTCTTTTATCTCTGTGAGTTAATTTAATTTTTTTTTACATTTACAAAATAAGATTTGCTTTCTCCTTGTCCCCTACAGTACAATAAGAATCCATTTCTGTGTATCTTTGTTTCCAGAGTAGCTAGATGGTCGTCTGTTTCAATTACAGTGTGTTTGTGTCGGGAAAGAGGGGCCGGGGGGTTCGGGAATTCGGGAATTTCAAAAGTGCAGGTTTCGGAAGGAAGAGGTTTTTACAATGTCGGGCCGGGAGAAGCTGTGTTCGAAATGGAAATCAACAGATGAACCGGGGCGACGAAAGCTTGGCTCGCCTCCTTTTCCCGGCGGCGAGAAAACTTGAGCACCATCATGTTAAGGAAAATGTTACAAGACGGGAAAAACAACAATAATAATAATAATAATAAAACATTTAGAAATTCAATAAAAATTCCAGAGTAAAAGAAACGACGACAATAACAACGAAAGAGGAGACACTTAAAAACAGAGATACATTAACATTGTAAAAAGTTATTTCTTTCCTTTTTTTTTAAAAAAAAAAAGCTGGATCAAACCCCATGAAAGGACCAATAAATAGAGAAATCATTACCAAAAAAAAGACATATAAATTAAAAAAAAGGGAGAGAGAGAAAGAGCGAGATTGAAAAAAAGAGAGATCAAGACACTGAACATTTACAAATTGCAAAACAATTCTGAGGCATGGAGGTACGCATTATTTGGAAAGGAGGAGAGGGGGGAAAAAAAGAAAGAAAATTACCCCAAATCTGCGACATTTGTTTGCAAAATGAACCGGGAGGCGAAAAGCATGCAGAACGAGGGAACGGGAGGCTTTAGAAATGGGTTAAGAGTTAAGGTGGAAATCGTGTCATCCGCTAAAGAGGAAACATTGAGGGTGTCTTTCGTTAGATCAGGAGGGTGAAAGTTAGCTAGAGCGTTAAGGGTCCGCGGTTAGTTTGCCCCTTCCCCAAATGGCACGAAGAGGGGATCAAGCGGCAGAAGAAGGGCAGGAGGAGCCGAATCCCGCAGGTCGTTCCCCCATTTTTGCAAACCGGTTCTCCCATCTACCCGTGTGTCTATATTTGGGGCGAGCACCATATCCTTTGCACAGGGCCAAAATCCCAAAACTCATCGCGCCAAACCGGACTTCCGTGTCTCTCTGTGTCTGTGTATAATATAATAATAATTTTTTTTGTCGGTTTTCTGTTTTCGTTTTTTAAAAGCAGTTTCTAATACAAACCAGGAAACTTTTTTCGTTTTCCCTTATATTTATATATATAATATATAAAAGGATGTAAGAAATCAAAATGTCCATCGGAATAATTAAAAACCACACGCGCAACAGGTCTCCCTTTTCCCCACCCCGCCCGATATATATAAATCCATGTACACACTTCTCCCGCCGCCGCCGCCTCCCAAGTGAGAAGTTTGCCCAGAGAGAACTGAACCCATAAAAGTCCTGTGTTAAGAAACCCGTATTAAATTTTTTTTTTTGCTTGCTTGCGTTCTGTGTTTTTCCAAAAAACTCTCTTTTTGTAAAGTTCCAACAAGGAAAAGAAATGCAATCGAAAAAGAAACCAAACCAAAACACACACCCTCCCCGCCAAGGAATCCATCTCTCTGCTCCACTGTTTTGCTCTCCCGAGTCCAAGGAGAAGGAATCAGAGAGAAAAGAGGAAATTAATGCTCTTGTGAAAGAAACCCTTCCTTCCTTCCTTCCTTCCGCCACTTCCTTGTCATCCGTGCCTCGGGGCTCCTGATGCGCCGCAGTCCGAGGGGAAAACCAGGCACGACAGGCGAGCGAGCGGAGGCGGAGGAGTCCGATGCGGAACCGACCGACGGGAGGGAGAGAAAACGCCCGTTGCCTTTCCAATCTATTTTTGCTGCCCTTATTATTATTTTTTTATCATTGTTTTTTTTTCTCTCTTTTAATACAAAATCAGCACCACCCACAGAGGGGGAGAAGAAGAAAAAGGAGGAGGAGAAGAAGAAGAAAGAGTTCATCTCAAAAAACAAAAAGAATAAATTAAAAAGGGATCCATGGTTGGAACGTCTGGGTTATTATTCCGGTTCTGTTGTGTCACTCCAGCCCAAGAGAGAGGAGCCGGAGTGAGTGGAGGTTGGAGGCTCAGCTGCTCTGAAAGGAGGGAGGGAGGGAGAGGAGAAGGGGAGAAGAAGGGGGCCGGCTGGGGGCACCCCTCCGCCTCACCCCCAACGCTGCTGCTGCTGCTGTCGTCAGACAAAAGGCAGAGGAGCTGCTCGCTGGCAGGCCGGCCGGGAGGAAAGAGGAGCCCAGACCTCTGGCTGTGTCCGGGCAGGGTATGGCTCATCTGGAGCTGGGCGATGCAGCCTGTCGGGAAAAAGTAAAGGGGGGGGAGGTGTTAAATAAAATGATGACAGGCAGACTATTTTGCACCGGGACTGTGGCGCAGCTAATAATAATAATAATAATAATAATAATAATAATAATCCTTTATTTATACCCCGCTACCATCTCTTGACTGCCTATTACAGGGAAAACCAGCTGATCCCCAACCCATCTAAACACAGACATGTGCCTTTCATCTCAAGAACAGAGAAGCATCCCGAGCTCTGAAGATCACCTGGGAAGGAATCCCACTGGAGCATTGCAGCGCACCCAAATACCTGGGAGTCACTCTGGACCGTGCTCTGACCTACAAGAAGCACTGCCTGAACATCAAGCAAAAGGTGGGTGCTAGAAACAATATCATACAAAAGCTGACTGGCACAACCTGGGGATCACAACCAGATACAGTGAAGACATCTGCCCTTGCACTGTGCTACTCTGCTGCTGAGTATGCATGCCCAGTGTGGAACACATCTCACCACACTAAAACAGTGGATGTGGCTCTTAATGAGACATGCCGCATTATCACGGGGTGTCTGCGCCCTACACCACTGGAGAAATTACACTGCTTTAGCCGGTATTGCACCACCTGACATCCGCCGGGAAGTAGCAGCCAATAGTGAAAGGACCAAGGCAGAGACATCTCCAGCTCATCCCCTGTTTGGGTATCAGCCAGCACGTCAACGACTTACATCTAGACATAGTTTTCTAAGATCTACAGAGACACTCGCTGGAACACCTCAGCAAGCGAGAGTCCAAAAGTGGCAGGCTCAAACCCAGCACCTCAACCAATGGCTGATACCAAATGAGAGACTCCCTCCTGGGCACACAGAAGACTGGGCGACTTGGAAGGCATTGAACAGACTGCGCTCTGGCACCACGAGATGCAGAGCCAACCTGCAGAAATGGGGCTACAAAGTAGAATCCTCGACATGCGAGTGGGGAGAAGAGCAAACCACTGAGCACCTGCTGCAATGCAACCTGAGCCCTGTCACATGATGCACAATGGAGGACCTCCTTGCGGCAACACCAGAGGCACTCCAAGTGGCCAGATACTGGTCAAAGGACATTTAACCAACTACCAAGTTTGCAAAATCTGTGTTTTTTTGGTTTTTTCTTTCTTTCTTTTCTTTCTTTTCTCTTTTTTTCTTCTTTTTAATCTGTGTGTTTGTTTTGTTCTGTTAGAATTGTAACACAATGGTATGGTTGCTGATGACACGATAAATAAATACCATCTCCCGGACGATTCGGTGCGACTTACAAGAGGCCAAGCCCAAATACATCAATAAAAAAGCAACAACAGCAATACAGACAATAAATAAATAAACAGTAACAATAACACCACGAGGCATTAAAAACCTATGGCAGGGCCAAATGAAATAATCAAAAATTTTAAAATACTGGGCATGACAAGGTGTCATATAACTAGGATAGGTATTTGGAGAGAGATGGAGCGAGCAGACAATCCTAGATCATTAGTAAAGTGCGATTAGGGACATGTTGCTTAGGGTTTCCTTATTCTGGGAAGGCACACTGGAACAACCATGTTTTCAAGCTCCTCTTGAAGACTGCCAGAGTTGGGGCATGTCTAATGTCCTTGGGGAGCGAGTTCCAGGGTCGAGGGGCCACCACCGAGAAGGCCCTGTCCCTCGTCCCCACCAATCGCGCTTGCGATGGAGGTGGGATCATGAGCAGGGCAGCTAGCTGAGTGTCAGCTGCATTAAGATCACTTCTGACCAAAAGGTCATGAGTTTGAAGCCAACCTGGGTCAGAGTGAGCTTCTGACCAATTGTGTAGCTTGTTGTCGACCTTTGCAACCCAAAAGACAGTTGCATCTGTCAAGTAGGAAAATTAGGTACCACCTATGTGTGGGGAGGCTAATTTAACTAATTTATGAGGCCATAAAAAAGATTCCAGCAAAGCACTCCAGCATAAGCATGCGGGGAATACGGAAGCGCTTCATCAGTGCCGCAGATGGACGATGAAAGCGACAGCTCCCCTGGCGGCCAGAAAAAGTTAAATAGCCTCTGACTGTCTGTCTATATCTGTTGTGTGTCTTTGGCATTGAATGTTTGCCGTATATGTGTACACTAGCCATCTCCTGCCACCCGTTGTTGTGGCCCAGTCTGTATATATGTGTTTTGTGTGTATATATGTGTTCAAATATTTGTGTATCTGTGTATATATGTGTGTTTGCGTGTGTGTATGTGTGTGTATATCTATATATCTGTGTGTGTCTGTGTGTGTACACATGTGTGTGAAGATGTGTATATATGTGTGCATATATTTGTGTGTTTATATGTGTATTTGTATATTGTGTGTATGTGTGTGCTTGTCTATATGCATATTTGTGTTTGTATATGTGTGCATGTGTATATTTGTGTGTGCATGTGTATATTTATATATATGTCTGTATGCAGATGTATGTGTGTGTATATTTGTGTGTGCTTGGGTATGTTTATATGTGTATTTGTATATTGTGTATATGTGTGTGCTTGTCTATATGCATATTTGTGTTTATATATGTGTGCATGTGTATATTTGTGTGTGCATGTGTATGTGTATGTAGATGTGTGTGTGTGTATATTTGTGTGTGCTTGGGTATATATATACACATGTATGTATGTGTGCATGTGTATATGTACATGAGTGTGTGTGTGTATGTGTGTGTGTATATATATATGTGTGTGTATGTGTGTGTGTGTATGGATATATATATGGTGTATTTCTGGGGGTTTTAAGTCCGTTCTGCTGGGTTTTGTTGGGTTTTTTTGTAATTTTAGAGGTGATGAACAGTCCTTGGTCTGTTAGGGTTGTACTGTCCAAATTTCGTGTCAATTTCTGAGTTATGTTAATCCCACAAACGAACATTACATTTTTATTTATATAGATTGTAATCCGCCCTGAGAAGGGCGGAATATAAATACTGTAAATAAATAATAAATAAATGTAACATTAGAGCTGGCTGAACAACCCTGAACTGACTTGAAATGCATTCAGTAGTGAGCGGAAATGGACATGCAGGAAAAGAGATTACACCAAAATCAGTCATGGGCAAGGAGCTCCCAGTGGTACAATGGCTTAATCCAGGCATCCTTAAACTGTGGCCCTCCAGTTGTTTGGGCCTCCAACTCCCAGAATCCCTAGCTTGTTCAATTGCCAGGAATTGCGGGAGTTGAAGGCCCAAACAGCTGGAGGGCTGCAGTTTGAAGATGACTGGGTTAAACCCTTGAGCCAGAAGGATTGGTCGACCGACAAGTTGGCGGTTTGAATCAGGGGAGCAGGTTAAGCTCCTGTCTGTCCAGCTCTAGCTTCTCATGCGGGGGGACATGAGAGTAGCATCCCACACAGGATGGTAAAACATCAATCATCCGGGCATCTCCTGGGCAATGTCATTTGCAAACGACCAATTCTCTCACACCAGAAGCAACTTGCAATTTCTCAAGTCGCTTCTGACACACACAAAAAGGCACGGGCAAACTTCGAACCTCTCTCCGGGTGTTTTGGACTTGAACTCCCACAAACCCTAACAGCCTGGAGGGACAAAGTTGGCCCGTGTCTGGAGTATAATGTCTGGCTCCTACTCTGTTCAATATATTCCTGTATGATTTGCCTCAAGCTTTAGTGTTGGTGAATGAACACAGTCCCAATGAAACAGTGAAGGGAGCAGGAGAATCACTGTGACGGCGTGAGTGGTGCCACCTATATGTAGAACTGTAAGTTGCAGGATTTGAACTGTTGTATCATGCCTGATTTTGCCTTTTTACCCTGTAAATGTATAGTTGGATTGATTGGTTATTTATAGCTGTCAATCAATGTTGTTTGCACCAGTTGAATTGCTCCTTCTGCTCAATTGTTTGACCCCACCTCTTCCTAGAGAGCAGGACAGTGTTTCCTTTTCCATTCCACCATCAAACTTTCTATCAGATGGACATGAGAGAGAGACTTGGCTCTGAAGCCCTCGATTAAGTTACCTCTCAGCACAAATTCCGAGGTTGTTAACCCTTGAGACTTATGCTTCATGTTCAGATCAACCTGGATGACGTTGAGGAGTCTCAAGCGCCTTCAAACCAGTTCTTTGGCACCAGAGGAAGGCTTTGTGCCTTCAAAATATAGGCCATTGGAATTGGGGTTGTGATTCTTCCGATATTCACAGCCATTGAGAAAGAGGAATCTGGAAAAGCTTCTCAGCGGCAAAACTCTTTGGACCCAAGACAACCAGAGACTGTAATGTATATTTTCCTTTACTCCTTTGAAACTTCCAGCTTAGGTTCGCAGCTTGGGTGTGACCCTGGACTCATCGCTGACCAGGGGAGCATTTGCACAGCTAAAGCTTGTGCGCCAGCTGCGCCCGTACCTTGGGAAATCTGACTTGGCCACGGTAGTCCACGCTCTGGTTACATCCCGTTTAGACTACTGCAACGCTCTCTACGTGGGGTTGCCTTTGAAGACAGCTCGGAAGCTCCAACTAGTCCAACGCTCGGCAGCCATGATTTTAACAGGAGCGGAGCGCAGGGAGCATACAACCCCCCTGTTGCGCCAACTCCACTGGCTACTGATCTGCTACCGGGCTGAATTCAAAGTGCTGGCGTTGGCCTTTAAAGCCCTAAACGGTTCGGGCCCAAGCTACCTATCTGACCGCATCTCTGCCTATGAACCCACCAGGACTTTGAGATCTTCCGGGGAGGCCCTGCTCTCGATTCCGCCTGCTTCTCGGGCTCGGCTGGCGGGGACGAGAGATAGGGCCTTCTCGGTGGTGGCTCCTCGGCTGTGGAACGCCCTTCCTACGGACATTAGACTAGCACCATCTCTAATGGTATTCCGCAAAAAAGTGAAGACCTGGCTGTTTGAGCAGGCGTTCAAATAATTAGTGCAATGATTGGTTAATGAACAGGAATGGAACAATGGATGACGAATCTGGAACATGTTTTTGATGATGAGACGACAGTGAATGGGTATTGTAGTAACTGTTTATTAATTGTGTAATGTGTTAGGTTGTTAACTGTTTTTATACTGTATCACTGAATTTTTGCTGTTCGTATTTGTTGTGAACCGCTGTGAGTCGCCTTCGGGCTGAGAACAGCAGTATATAAGTAAGGTAAATAAATAAATAAATAAATATTTCCTTAAAGGGATAACTCTTTGTGAACAATAAAACCTATTTTGAGTTATCTACAGTGTTTTGGTCCTTGGGAGTTCCAGTTTCCTAAAGGAGGGCAAGAAGCAATCCCCTGGGGGAAAGATGCCTCTTTCACTAAGAGTTATAGCCCCCAGGAGTGACAGCACACTCACCAGGGTGAAGCTGTCGTAGATGTGTATCAACTCCTCCGTCTTGTACTGCTCCAGCACCACCACGCCGTGGAGGGAGTTGTTGCGCTTGCGGGCGCAAGCCTCGCAGTGCACCAGGTAGGAGTTCTTGCTCCCGTTCTCGCTCGTCACGAAGAGGATGTTGAAGACCTCTACCTGTGGGGGGAACACGCGGAGGTTAGGCACCTGCCAAGAAAAGGAACGGGGCCTCAGCCCTTCTCCCCTCTTCGCAAATCGATGCCGAGTGCTGGAAAAGAGGAAGGGCTGAGAAACGGAGCGGACGAGGATCATCCTGCGGAATGAAGAGCCTGGACGCATCAATGTTCAGAAAATCAACAGGGAAGGAGTCCTGGTGGAAGTTTTCAGACCTTAGAAGAGCTAACTTTTCCATTCCCTCGCTTTGTTTTGGATGACAACTCCCAGAATTCCCCAGCTAGCCATGACTCCTCTTGGACAACAATTCCCAGAATCCCCCAGCTAGCTATGGATCCTCTTGGACAACAATTCCCAGAATCCCCCAGATAGCTATGGCTCCTCTTGGACAACAATTCCCAGAATCCACCAGCTAGCCATGGCTAGTTGGGGGACTCTGGGAATTGTCCAAAAGGAGAGAGAAGTTAGCTTTTCCAAGCTGCTTCCAGACTCCATCCCTGTTCTCACCCTACATTTTGCTGAGTACAGAGTTCCAGCAATTAAAGAAATGCCTGCTTGCTAAACCCAGAGAGGAACAAAATCCATCAATTTTAGCCTGCAAGGAAATTTATTATTTCTTTATGTACGACATTTATATCCTGCTCTTCTCACCCCAAAGACGGCTCAGAGTGGCTTACGAGTTATATGTACATAAAATATATTATATTATTAGCATAGCACAATATTAGTATTGTATATTACTATATTGTACTATACCACTATACTGAAATATTATTAGTAATATTACATATAATACATATAATTATATTTTATATTGTATTATTATTAGTACTATATTGTAATACAATATTATGATCTATACTGAAATATTATTAGTAATATTACATGTAATATATATTTATAATTATATTTTATATTGTATTGTTATTCGTACTATATTGTAATACAATATTATGATCTATACTGAAATATTATTAGTAATAGTACATGTAATATATATATAATTATATTTTTATATTGTATTATTATTAGTACTATATTGTAATACAATATTATGATCTATATTGAAATATTATTAGCAATATTACATGTAATACATATAATTATATTTTTATATTGTATTATTATTAGTACTATATTGTAATACAATATTATGATCTATACTGAAATATTATTAGTAATATTACATGTAATACATATAATTATATTTTATATTGTATTATTATTAGTACTATATTGTAATACAATATTATAATCTATACTGAAATATTATTAGTAATATTACATGTAATATATATAATTATTATATTTTATATTGTATTATTATTAGTACTATATTGTAATACAATATTATGATCAATACCGTATGTACATACGATATATTATATATATTGTACTATACCACTATACTGCAATATTATTAGTACTATTACATGTAATATATAATTATATTATTAGTAGTATTATATTGTATTACAATATTATGATCAATGCTATATGTACATACGATATATTATAAATATTGTACTATGCTACTATACCGAAATATTATTAGTAATATTACATGGCTTCAAACTACAAGAAAGAAGATTCCATCTGAACATTAGGAAGAACTTCCTGACTGTGAGAGCTGTTCAACAGTGGAACTCTCCGCCCCGGAGTGTGGTGGAGGCTCCTTCTTTGGAAGCTTTTAAACAGAGGCTGGATGGCCATCTGTTGGGGGTGCTTTGAATGCAATTTTCCTGCTTCTTGGCAGAATGGGGTTGGACTGGATGGCCCATGAGGTCTCTTCCAACTCTATGATTCTATTATTCTATGTAATATATATAATTATGATATTATTATATTGTATTGTTATTAGTATTATATGGTATTACAATATTATGATCAATACTATATGTACATACGATATATTATATATATTGTACTATATCACTATACTGAAATATTATTAGTAATATTACATGTAATATATATAATTATATAATTATATTGTATTATTAGTATTATATTGTATTACAATATTATGATCAATGCTATATGTACATATATTATATATATTGTACTATACAACTATACTGAAATATTATTAGTAATATTACATGCTATATATATATATATAAAATTATATTATTATATTATATTGTATTATTATTAGTATTATATCGTATTACAATATTATGATCAATATTATATGTACATACAATACATATGGCTACTTATGTATTGCACAATACTAATTAGCACAATACTAATATTGTGCTAATTAGCATTAGCACAATATTAGTATTATATATTACTATATTGTACTATACCACCATACTGCAATATGGGTTGTTGTAGGTTTTTTCGGGCTATATGGCCATGGTCTAGAGGCATTTTCTCCTGACGTTTTGCCTGGATCTATGGCAAGCATCCTCAGAGGTAGTGAGATGCAGGCGAAACGTCAGGAGAAAATGCCTCTAGACCATGGCCATATAGCCCGAAAAAACCTACAACAACCTAGTGATTCCAGCCATGAAAGCCTTCAACAATACATACTGCAATATTATTAGTAATATTACATGTAATATATAATATGCAATTATTATATCATATTATTATCAATATTATATGTATATAGAATATATTATATTATTAGCACAGCACCTTATTAGTATTCTACATTACTATTATCCTGTTACCCATAATTCTTCTTATCATATAAATATGCATTTGCAAATCGTTTCTGTTTTATTAACTAAGTTGATTGGCTACAACGTGTCATCACGTGGTTCTGGACGACAACTCCCATGGTCATGCTGGACATGAGATTGTGGGAGTCGTAGTCCAAAAAGAAACAAGACATTCGTGTTTACTGCAATCTTGGTTATGCAAGGACACAGACAAGAAGCAGAAAAAACAACAACAGGAAAAAACAAACAAACAGAATCCTGTAAACAATTAAGAGGATAAACTTGTTTGTCTTTTAAGGTGCCATACGAATGTTATGTTTTGCTAGAAACAGGTTAATTCAGAGGTCTCTTTCACACCACACAATGAAAACAGTTTGATACCACTTTAATTGCCATAGCTCCATGCTGTGGAATCCAGTGATGTATAGTTTAGGGAAGTACTTAGAATTTTCTGCCAGAGAGCTCCACTGCCTCACCAAACTATAAATCCTAGGATTCCATAGGAAAAAGCTTTGACATCAAGAGAAGTATAAAACAGCTGAAACTGGATTGTGAGGAAGAGGCCGCAGCTACTCTTTCTTCAAATTACAAGAAAGGAGATTCCATCTGAACATTAGGAAGAACTTCCTGGCTGTGAGAGCTGTTCAGCAGTGGAACTCTCTGCCTCAGAATGTGGTAGAAGCTCCTTCTTTGGAAGCTTTTAAACAGAGGCTGGATGGCCATCTGTTGGGGGTGCTTTGAATGCAATTGTCTTGCTTCTTGGCAGAATGGGGTTGGATTGGATGGCCCATGAGGTCTCTTCCAACTCTATGATCCTATGATTCTACTCTTTGAGAAATGGTAGACAACAGTGTCCTGCTTCTTGGCAGGGGGTTGGATTGGATGGCCCATGAGGTCTCTTCCAACTCTACGATTGATTCTACTCTTTGAGAAATGGTAGACGACAAGAATTTCCAAGGACTAGGATCACATAGGACCCCAGGAAAGTAAGAAAGAGCAACGAAAACACAAAGCTACAGCAGGATTTCTTCCTAGAGGGTGAGGCTATTAGAGAGCGACAAGCGGAGAAGCGTGGAAGAACGAGACAAACACAGAACAGAGAGCGAAGGCGTTTATTTCTTCTCTGGCTTTCTGTTTAAAACAAACCCCACCACAGAGACTTGACGTCCACATTACACATTACAACCCAACAGCAAGCTGCACCTAACCAACGACAGAATCCAGGCTTTGAGGTTCTCTGCTTCTATGTTATGCATCTCGTTGGAATCACGTCTACACAGAAACTTGGTATTCTGGTAGCTTATGGCCACTCCTTAGGGATCCAACATCCGGGCATCTTGTCTGCTTTGCCATGTGCATCTTTCAGAGGAATTGGGATCCAGCGCCGGCTTCCACTCGGAGCAACAATTGCTTACCTGGGATGCATCCAGTTATGGATACTCTGGAAACTGTGGCTTCTTTCCTTCTGGTGCGCTAGTCCAACTTGTCACGATATTCCGTCTCCTATGAACTGTTTCGTTCCTTCTTTAGGGCAGCCCGTAACCGAACTCACTCAGCCGCCCTCTTTGCCAATTCCCTGCTTCATCTGCATTCCTGGTTGACTTTCTCGATTTTGTCAAATCTTCCGTGTGCCGTCTTGAAAGAGCTTGCTAAGATTTCTTCCTGGCTCAAGTCAAAACTCCGTGCCAACTTTTGGAAGAGCCGGTGAACTTCCTACTTGGCTCAAATGAGGCAATCTCCTGCCAATGTTTTTCCGGCTACTTCAGGGTTGCTCAGGGCGCTTCCAGACAGCACTAAATCGCGGGTTTTAAATAGAGGCAAAATATCCCAGGACTTCAGAAGAGGTCCACATACAGATCTGTTGGTCCTGGGATTTCTGCTTCCTTTGTCCAGATTTGATGCTTTGTTGCAATATTTAGAGGCGCCCAAAATAGCCACCACGAGACTTCTACCAGAAACTTTGGAATTTTCCTAAAAAATCTTCAAGATGCGGATGTGCGGAATCACTGCAGTGAATCACTGCAAAAGTTCCATCCTTTGTTCTGGCCAAAGAAACTGTGCCATCCAGATATTTCATGAAGTCTCTGCCACACAAACAAAGTTTACGGGGTAGGACCACTTCTGCCCAAGTCGGCACTGCACAATCAAACAGGAACACATACTTTCATAAGGTTCTGGTGGGTTTTTTCGGGCTATAGGGCCATGTTCTAGAGGCATTTTTCCTGATGTTTCGCCTGCATCTATGGCAAGCATCCTCAGAGGTAGTGAGGCGAAACGTCAGGAAAAATGCCTCTAGAACATGGCCCTATAGCCCGAAAAAACCCACCAGAACCTAGTGATTCCAGCCATGAAAGCCTTCGACAATACATACTTTCATGTCAGGAACATCTGTCCAGACACATTTGGTTGTGTACTTGTGGCATCCAACACCAGGATGCTGTTCCTGGGTTATTCACGGCTGTTCCTGATTGCTGTTCTTGTGAAAAAACGTACAATGTTGATTAGGAGGCCACAACTTTGTCCCAGCCAGAGAAAATGTGCCCTCCACATGTTTCATGACGTTTCTGGCACACAAACAAAGTTTTCGCCTTCTACTCAAGTGTCACATTCTTTTTGGGAACCCAACCAATCAGGAACAAACATCTAAAACCCAGGAACCAACCTAGATAAAAAATTCTGCGATTTCCAATTGCAGGGACATACAGATATGTGAAGATGCAGATATTTGGTTCAAAACCATGATATTCTCGCATCTGTAAATCTCATTTTTTTTGCCTTTTGCAGTGATTGCTTCCGCATTTAGGGGGAATGGCATCTGGCCACCCTCCTGTGTGATGCAGAAGCTCCTGGGATAAAATTACTGTCTGGACGGGCCCTCAGTCAACTCGAATGTGTTATCCAAGCTGGTTGCCTGGAGATACTTGCTATGCACTGCCTTCTTGCCACCGTGCTGAGCCTTTCTTCCCATTCTCTCATTTAAGACCTTCTTCTCAGCAGGCTTTCTGTTTGAGCCAACCTGTCACCAGACCCCTGCCCTGTTATAAGACCTCTTCTCCCCTTCTCCCATTTCTTTTTTCTTGCCACCTCAATCTTCCATTTCATCCCAGGAGGGAGGAGAGTCTTCTATCTGAATTTTCAGCACAGTGTTCACAGTGCCACATTGGTCGAAAAATCTATTCAATAGCGCTAGGATGCGGAACAATGGCTTCAAATTGCAGAAAAGAAGATTCCACCTGCACACTAGGAAGAACTTCCTGACTGTGAGAGCTGTTCAGCAGTGGAACTCTCTGCCCCAGAGTGTGGTGGAGGCTCCTTCTTTGGAGGTTCAGCAGAGGCTGGATGGTGTGCTTTGGATGCGATTTTCCTGCTTCCTGGCAGAATGGGGTTGGACTGGATGGCCCACGAGGTCTCTTCCAACTTGACGATTCTATGACCAACTGTCGAGGGTGCTTTGGATGTGATCTTCCTGCTTCTTGCAGAATGAGGTTGGACTGGATGGCCCATGAGGTCTCTTCCAACTTTACGATTCTATGACCATCTGTCGAGGGTGCTTTGGATGCGGTTGGACTGGATGGCCCACGAGGTCTTCTGTGATATCTGTGTCTCTTTTTCCATCCTTGCAGGTGTAACTCCATTCCATCTTCAGACTGATTTTCTTCTTCACCACCGTTTTTTAAAAACACATAATTCATACTCACTGTTTGACCCTTCTACTTTCTTACGTACGGTCTTGCTCCTCGGCACTCTCAGCCATGGAAACACCAAACTACAGGTGGGTACAGGAGGTATTTTAAAGACAAACAGGCCTCAAAAAACACATTGTTCACACCACAGGGCCTATGGACACCCCTGGAAGTTTTTTGGGGGAGAGTTTACTCTCTCGAGGTGTTTATGGCCAGGAATAAATAAAACCAGCCTGTCGGATTGCTTCCTGGCAGGAGGGAAACCCAAGGTAGTCAATTAGGAGATCGCTGTGAACGTCTCCCCATGTGAAACAGGGCACGATTCACAGCGTGTGAGTGTGAAGCGAAGGCAAAAAGGAGCTTCCATACTGGAAAGGAAGGCAAAAGCAAAACCACATCAAACACAGATTCATTCGGTCACAGCAATTTGGGACAGCAGGAGAATGGTCCAGCCGCTGTCTCGGATCGGGAAATGCCCTTTTACACTGCCATTTGGTGTGCACAACACCACATCACCGTGGAGGAATGGCAATGCCCAACTGAGGAGGAAGAGCAAGTACGAAAACAAAGAAAAGTTTGCGTGCCTGGCACCTAACTGCGGAATGGGCACAAGCTCACTCCCAGCCACTGCGGCAAAGGAAGGCCAAAATATCACGGAAACCTACGTCACACTCATTGCAGTAGTAGGCCGGCTCGTCCTTCACTCGGCCCTGGTAAGCAATCTTCTTCCCGGACCGCACCAGGCTCTCGCGCTGGACCTGACAGTGCTTTATTGACTGCATCAGACAATACCTGCGAGGGAGAGGACAGGGACGAGGTGTCAAAGGTGCATCGACCTCAACTGGTGAGGAACTGCACAAAACTAGACTGAATGCAACCCCCTTCCGTCCCAGATGCACCAATGTGCAACCTCCATAAACCCACCTCACTAGGCTTGTAAGAGCAACTAGAAATGGATACCCGTAACTTCTGAATGGAGATGGTATATCCCAGGCATGGGCAAACTCCCTCCAGGTGTTTTGGACTTCAAGTCCCACAATTCGTAACAGCCTCAGGCCCCTTCCTTTTCCCTCTCAGCCACTTAAGCGAATAATGGGGCCTCATCCGGGATTCGGAAATGAAGTCACTTGGTTTTGTCCTTCTGAATGTAAACAAAGGCTTAAGCGGCTGAGGGGGGAAAGGAAAGGACCCGAGGCTGTTAGGAATTGTGGGACTTGAAGTCCAAAACACCTGAGAGGGCCCAAGCTTGCCCAAGATAGACCCAGAATTTGGCCAAAGTGAGAGCAGATTCCACACTACAGTAGAGTCTCACTTATCCGACCTTCACTTATCTGACATTCCGTCTTATCCGACGCTCTTATCTGACGGTCCCCTTTTCCTCCAGCATTTTCCCTTCAATTAAAGGAGTGCTCCCCAACTCTCTCTCCATTCTCAATACGTGAAAAAGCACGACAAGGAGGAGGAGGGAGGAAAGGGGAAAAAGAGGCAAGACCGGAAGTGGAAGCATCCTCCCTCCTTCCCTCTGGAATTTCCACGCTCCTCTTCCACATCCGGACACTTCCTACTGGGCCCCTCTAGTCCAGAGGCATTGCCTTGCCTTAACTCTTTGACTCCATAGTCTTCCAGGTGTCTAGTGCTGTGTCAGATGAGTAACAGTAGGAGAATCCGTATTATCCAACATTTTCATTTATCCGACGTTCTGCCTACCCGTTTATGTCGGATAAGTGACACTCTACTGTATCCTCCCATGGCTCCCCTAGAATTACACACATTCAGGTATGATCCCATACATTGCAGCACTAGACGGTGCCAATATCCATCAAATAACTCTTGAACCCAAATAAAGGAATTAGTGGGTCTGGAAAGCAAGGGGTTGCTCAGAGAGACCATGCAAAACAAGCAGGCCCTGGACAAAATGGGCCCCAACTCACTTGATCATTTTGTACAAGTCGGAGTCGCTGATCTTGACCGTGCGGGCCACATTCCAAGAGACATGGATCATGGGCACAATGGACTTCACGTTCTTGATCTCGTTCCACTCGTAGCGCTCCAGCGCCAACTGGTACTGGTACGCTGTGGGGAAAGGGAGAGGTCAGGCGGATTGCCGAACATCCTTTACGGGTCTCGGCCGCAGGAGAGAGGCAGGAAAACAACACCTTGCCCCACTTTCTTCACAGCAGATACAACTTCGTAGACCTTTCTCCACTTAGCCTAAAACCCCTTATATGTATTTTATTTTTTGTGAGGAAGTTGTTCCTTGGTGTTATTAATTGCTACCAAGCCGGCTAAACACAGCAACCTCACAAGTAGGAGACTGATCAGAATGTTGGTTACAAATGTTTTCTGCTTCCCTGGAGACTAGGACGCGAAACAATGGCTTCAAACGACAAGAGAGGAGATTCCATCCGAACATGAGGAAGAACTTCCTGACTGTGAGAGCCATTCAGCAGTGGAACTCTCTGCCCTGGAGTGTGGTGGAGGCTCCTTCTTTGGAAGCTTGTAAACAGAGGCTGGATGGCCATCTGTCAGGGGTGATTTGAATGCAATATTCCTGCTTCTTGGCAGAATGGGGTTGGACTGGATGGCCCATGAGGTCTCTTCCAACTCTTTGATTCTAGGATTCTATAACCGTCCTGCTCACATTTTGCAAACTGAGTTGGCTTTTAGGGAGATGATTACTGTCTTGACTCAAATCTAATGCTCACCTTTTTTTTACCTAATTACCTGGCCAAAATTAGGGTGCGCATTAGATTCTCGTAATACGCTGATCTAACTATTTCATCACACTAGAGAATGAATCCACTTTAAATCCGGTTTCTGCCTCCTGCAAAATTCAGGCGTTTTTAGTTCAGTGAGGCTGTTATCCTCCTTAACCTACAAACCCCAAAATTATGTAGGAGGCAGCAACCGGATTTAAATAATAAGAAACAATAACTGCATTGCTTAATAATCAAGAACTGGGTCTGTGCTACTCTAACACCCATGTCTTCTAAGGTTTCAAGAGAGGGAAAGACTCAAATCACGCCATCTCTCCTGGCACACAAGCAGAGAGAGATCTCAAAGCACACAGCACAGACTCCCCATACTAAAAGGAAAGAAGGCAGATTCAAAAAGTTTGCAGTAGAGCAGGGGTTCTCAACCTGGGGTCCCCAGATGTTTTTGGCCTACAACTCCCAGAAATCCCAGCCAATTTACCAGCTGTTAGGATTTCTGGAAGTTGTAGGCCAAAAGTATCTGGGGACCCCAGGTTGAGAACCACTGTTTGAGAACGACTGCAGTAGAGAAGTAAACATTTTAAACAACCAATTAGAAAGAGAACACAAACAGAGAGGAGAGGAGAAAAAGATCACATTCCCAACTGTCATTCAGGAGACATGAGAGAAGGGAAACCCTACGTCTAGTGGTTCTCAACCCTCCTAATCTCACAACCTTTTAATAGAGTTCCTCATGTTGTGGTGACCCCCAACCATAACATTATTTTCGTTGCTACTTATAACTGTAATTTTGCTACTGTTATGAATCGTCATGTTAGTATCTGATCTGCAGGATGTATTTTCATTCACTGGTCTACATTTGGCACAAATACCGAATACTGGTGGGGTTGGGGAGGAGGTTGATTTTGTCACTTGGGAGTTGTAGTTGCTGGGATTTATAGTTCACCTACAATCGAAGAGCATTCTGAACCCCACCAATGATAGAATTAAGCTAAACCCAAGACCAATAAAAAACCCAAGACCAATAGAAAATACTGGAAGGGTTTGATGGGCATTGACCTTGAGTTTGGGAGTTGTAGTTCACCTACATCCAGAGAGAACTGTGGACTCAAACAATGATGGATCTGGGCCAAACTTGGCATGGATACTCAAGATGCCCAAATATGACCACTGGTGGAGTTTGGGGAAAATAGACCTTGACATTTGGGAGTTGTAGTTTCTGGGATTTATAGTTCACCTACACTCAAAGACCATTCTGAACACCACCAATGATAGAATTAAGCCAAACTTCCCCCATGACCAACAGACAATACTGTGTCTTCTGATGATCTTTGGCAACCCCTCTGACACTCCCTCATGACCCCTCCAGGGGTCCCGACCCCCCAGGTTGAGAAACACTAAACTAACTAAACTGTTCCTCATTGAGGACTGCAGATTTGAGCAGTGCATGGTTGAACTGCAACACTTATGACCTGAATTGTACTCCAAGCTTCAAGGCTGGCCACTCTACAGACTGATATAAATACGGTAAGATATTGCAGTTTGTGTGGCAATCAGAATAATCTGGCTCAGCATTTTGAGTGAGCCTTAATCCCAACCCCCAATCAGAGCACTCTGGACCGTGCTCTGACCTACAAGAAGCACTACAAGAAGCACTGCCTGAATATCAAGCAAAAGGTGGGTGCTAGAAACAATATCATGCGAAAACTGACTAGCACAACCTGGGGATCACAACCAGATACAGTGAAGACATCTGCCCTTGCACTGTGCTACTCTGCTGCTGAGTATGCATGCCCAGTGTGGAACACATCTCACCACGCTAAAACAGTGGATGCCTCTCTTAATGAGACATGCCGCATTATCACGGGGTGTCTGCGAGCCACACCACTCGAGAAATTACACTGCTTAGCCGGTATTGCACCACCTGATATCCGCCGGGAAGTAGCAGCCAATAGTGAAAGGACCAAGGCAGAGACATCTCCAACTCATCCCTTGTTTGGGCATCAGCGAGCGTGTCAACGACTTAAATCAAGAAATAGTTTTCTAAGATCTGCAGAGACACTCGCTGGAACACCTCAGCAAGCAAGAGTCCAAAAGTGGCAGGCTCAAACCCAAAACCTCAATCAATGGCTGATACCCAATGAGAGACTCCCCCCTGGGCACACAGAAGACAGGGTGACTTGGAAGGCGCTGAACAGACTGCGCTCTGGCACCACGAGATGCGGAGCCAACTTTAGGAAATGGGGCTACAAAGTGGAATCCACGACATGCGAGTGTGGAGAAGAGCAAACCACTGAGCACCTGCTGCAATGCAACCTGAGCCCTGCCACATGCACAATGGAGGACCTCCTTGCGGCAACACCAGAGGCACTCCAAGTGGCCAGGTAATGGTCAAAGGATATTTAATCAACCACCAAGCTTGCAAACTTTGTGTTTTGTGTGTTTGTTTGTTTTGTTAAAAATGTAATACAAATGTCTGGTTGCTCCTGACACGATAAATAAATAAATCTGGGGGAAAATGGTCTTAGATACCCATTTGGCCAAAGAGTGAAATAGTGAAAATCTGAATCTGGGCTTTTTTTCATTGTACCCAAACATGTTTAATAGTTGAAAAAGTGGAACTAGCTGTGGAATTTCTCCTGTGCTAAGGGTGTTGTTTTGACTGTTCATCTGCTTTACCCACCTGTCAATGGGCCGACATTCCAGGCGATGTTGTTGCACCACCCGGTGGCCTGGACCCAGTGCACCGTCCCTGCGTTGATCCACACAAGGTCCCCGGGCCGCTGGATGAAGCGGTAGACCGGGATGTTGGACTGGTAAAGGTCCTCCAGGATGGGCCACCACGAGCCAGTTAGGTAGTCCACACCATGCCTGCGAAAAAGCACACTTTGAGGAAACCAACCAGGGGAAAATCCTGCTTTCATGGGACGGTGAAGAAGGACCTGCCACTGATATATACTGTACCCTTTGTAACCTATAGTTTACAATTTCTGTTTTAAATTAAAGCTACTTTGGGTCACAATATCAGGAGAAAGGAAGGAAGGTAGATCAATAACAACAAGAACAACAACAACAACACTCCTCGAGGAGACTCAGAGCAACAACAACAACAAGAACAACAGCAACAACATATCTCCCCGAGGAGACTCAGAGCAAATTCTAGCATACATACACAGGCAAATATCCAATGCCTTTGAAACACAATGAAACACAAATACACAAACAAAGGCAAAGGATTCCCCTTTCATCTCCAGTTCTGGAGTGTCAGAGCATGCAAGAAATCAGTTAGTGTGTGTGTGTGTCAAATGTAAAATAAGATGCACGGGGAGCTAGCTGAGCCTGCGACTTTTGGATACTGTTACATTTTTGTTCAAGCCTGAACTATGCAAGTGCTTGCAGAGAGAAGCAGAGAGAGGCAGACTGATTTGATTCTGAGCTGCTGAAAGTAGGTCTCTTGTATAGACACAGAAAGGACTATTTTAAATCCCTCTAAAAGGACATTGTGTGAGTCCATGCAACTGTTCAAATGAGTGGACATATATTGTTCTACATTACAAGAGTAAACTTCTTGTTTTTTATTGATCACCTGAGTGGCATATTTTCTTTCTCTGGCAAGACAGTGTGTGGACTGGTCAAACATTTATTTTACATTACACCACATGGAGGCAATGCTCATCTCCATTTCCAAGACAAGGAGCCTGCATTGTCCGTAGACATCTCCTCGTTGCGTAGCCGGCATGACTTCGTGGAGCTTGCCGTTTACCTTCCTGCCAAGGCAGTACCTAGTGATCTACTCATATTTGCATGTTTTCGAACTGCTAGGTTGGCAGGAGCTGAGGCTGACAGGAGGAGCTCACCCTGGATCGCGGATTTGAACTGCCAACTTTCAGGTCAGGAAGTTCAACAGCTCAGTGGTTTAAATGACTAAATTCAATCTAGATCCAAGGAGCTAAACCCAATTGCACATTTCATTGCAGTCGCATGTGGGACAAAGCGTGATGCCCATATACCAACATGAGCAGACCTGGCATCTTCTGTAGGGCAAACTCCTCCGTTTCCCAAGAAGCCCTCATATCTCGCCATCCTTTCGCCCACATTACCTTTCACAGAAGGCGCTGATGTTCTGCCAATAATGCTCATGGACAGCAAACCACTCGCAGTCTCCCGGACCAATGTTGATGTTCACGGAGCAGAAGTTATTGTTCTCCTGGTGACCTGCAACGTGGAGACAAGTGCATTACAATGGATTACAACTCCCAGAATCCCCCAACTAGGCATGAATTGAGATTAATTTCAAGTTAGAGCCCTCCCGTGACTGCCGACCAAGCAAGTGCTGCCTTGTGGGGTCCTACCTGGGGTGCGGCTGCCGGGCACTTTCATGTAGAGCTGCACCGTGTTCATGCCCAGGATGGTGTGCCCCACGTGGCTCAGCATGTTTCCTGTCGATGTGACCCGCATGAAAGCTGGCAACTTCAGCAGCTCCTGCAGCTGTGGTTTCCACCTGCAGTGCAATGGAAGAGAGGGGTGGTTAACCTTACTATTCAAATGTTTACATCCAGGAATAATCCAAATCTGCCAAGGTGTGATCCCCCAACTTTACCAAAAAAAAAGGGCTGGAAATGTCTCCCATTCGAAACCCTGGAAAGCTGCTACACCAGGCGTGGGCAAAGTTGGGTCCTACAGGTGATTTGGACTTCAGTTGAAATCCAAAACACCTGCCTGTACCTGATATATCCTCATATGTATGCCCAGAAGACTTAGGTAGATTTCTTCTTGGGTCATCCTTCCTCCATTCATGGAGAGCCATTCCCTTCTTCCATGCATCCATTCATTCTTCCCTCCCATCCCTTCATCCTTCCCTCCCTTTTATCTTTCCTTTCTTCTCTCTTTCCTTCCTCCTTCTCTTCCACCATTTCATCCTTCCTTCCTTCTTTCCTCCCTCTCTCCCTCTTTTCTTTTCTTCCTTCCTTCTCTCTCTTTCCTCCTTCCCCTCCTTCCATCCATCCTTCCCTTCCACACTCTTGTCCTTCCCTCTTCCCTCCCTCTTTCTCCTTCCTTTCTCCCTTCTCTTTCGTCTTCTCTCTTTCCTTTATCCTTCCCTTCCTTCCTTCCATCCTTCTCTTCCTCCCTTTATTCCTTCCTTCTCTTTTATATACTCATATGTATGTCCAGAAGACATAGGTAGATTTATTCTTCAGTCATCCTTCCTCCATTAACTCCCTCCATTCCCTTCTTCCATGCATCCATCCATTCATCCTTCCCTTCCATCCCTTCATCCTTCCCTCCCTTTTGTCTTTCTCTTCTCTTTCTTTCCTCCTTCCCTTCCACCCTCTCGTCCTTTCTTCCTTCTTTCCTCCCTCTCTCCCTCTTTTCTTTTCTTCCTTCCTTCTCTCTTTCTTTCCTCCTTCCCCTCCTTCCATCCATCCTTCCCTTCCACCCTCTCGTCCTTCCTTCCCTCTTCCCTCCCTCTTTCTCCTTCCTTTCTCCCTTCCCTTTCATCTTCTCTCTTTCCTTTATCCTTCCCTTTCTTCCTTCCATCCTTTTCTTCCTTTATTCCTTCCTTCTCTTTTTCCTTCCTCCTTCCCTTCCTTCCATCCATACTTCTCTTCCACCCTTTTGTCCTTCCTTTGCTCTTTCCTCCCTCCCTCCCTTCCCTCCCTCTTTCTCTTTCCATCCTTCCCTTTCACCCTTTCATGCTTCCTTCTCACTCTCTTTCCTCCCTATCTTCCTCTTTCTCCTTCCTTCCTTCCCTTTTTTCGTCCATCCTTCCCTTCCACCTTTCCTTCCACTTTTTCATCCTTCCTTCCCTCTTTCCTCCCGCTCTCCCTCCGTCTCCTTCTTCTTTCCCTTTTTTCCTTCCTTCTCTTTTTCCTTCCTCTCTCTTTTCGTCCATCCTTCCCTTCCACCCTTGTCCTTCCCTCCCTCTTTCTCCTTCCTTCCTTCCTTCCTTCCTTCCTTCCTTCCTTCCTTCCATTTTGGCTTTACTTCCTTCTCTCTTTCCTTTATCCTTCCCTTCCTTCCTTCTAACCTTCTCTTCCTCCCTTTCTTTCCTCCTTCTCTTTTTCCTTGCTTCTTCCCTTTTTTTCTTCCATCCATTTTCTCTTCCCTCCTCCCCTCCCTCTTTCTCCTTCCACCCTTCCTTCTTGCCCTCTTTCCTCCCTGTCTTCCTCTTCTCCTTCCTTCCTTCTCTTTTTCCATCCATCCTTCCCTTCCACCTTTCTTTCCACACTGTCATCCTTCCTTCTTCCCTCCCTCTCTCTCCTTTCTTTTTTCTTTCCCTTTTGTGTTTACTTCCTTCTGTCTTTCCTTTATCATTCCCTTCCTTCCATCCATTCTTTTCGTCCTTCCTTCTCTCTTTCCTTCTCCTTCCCTCTTCTTCCATCCTTTCCTTCCCTCTTCTCCTTCCTTCCCTTCTTCCCTCCCTCCTCCCCTTCTCTTCCTTCTCCTTCCTTCTCCTTCACCTTCTCTTTCCTTCCTCCTTTCTTCCATCCTTCCCTTTTGTCTTTCCTTCCTTCCGTCTACCCTCCCTATGTCTCCTTCCACCCTTTCATCCTTTCTTCTCTCCCTCTTTCCTCCGTATCTCCCTCTTTATCCTTCCTTCCTTCCCCTGTTGTCTTTCCTTCCTTCCCTCTTTCCTCCCTCCTTCCATCCTTCCCTTCCTCCCTTTCATCCTTCCTTCTCTCTTTCCTTCCTTTTTCCTTTCCTTCCATCACTGGGAAAGCATCCCTCCTAGAAGGGAGTGCTATCATGCGACCCCCAAGTTAGAAAGTTTGCCCATGCCTGTATTAAATCCAATTTCTGATCCAATTTCTAACAGCTCTGAGTCACCTCTGGGCTGAGTGGGGCGGTATATAAATAATGTAAATAAATACTATATTTAGTAAATACTAAATATAGTAAATAATATAGTAAATAAATACTAAATATAGTAAATAAATACTAAATAAATACTGATTGGGGCGGTATATAAATATAGTAAATAAATAAATATAGTAAATAAATAAATTTCCCAGCATAATTTTGATAATAAAGAGGAAGAGGGACGTTTAGCCTTACTATTCAAATGTTTACATCCAAGAATAATCCAAATCTGGCAAGGTTTGATCCCCCAACATCTCCCATTTGAAACCCCGGAAAGCTGCTACACCAGGCGTGGGCAAACTTGGGCCCTGCAGGTGTTTTGGACTTCAACTCCCACAATTCCTAACAGCCTACCGGCTGTTAGGAATTGTGGGAGTTGAAGTCCAAAACACCTGCAGGGCCCAAGTTTGCCCATGCCTGCCTTTAAGGAGCAGAGCATCACAATCATCTCCTGTTGCAGTGACAAGGGACAGCCACAAGGGGGACCAAAGAGCAGCAGAAGCATCCTTATAGAACTCAGTTAATATTTAGTGCCATTGTTTATTGCAGTTGCAGATGTGGCCACAAGGTGGCAGCTAAAGCACCACCAAAACAAGGCCAGGGAAGGCAGGGCTTTAAATGCATCCTGCAGCAAAAATCACAATGTTAAGGGTGAAATACACACACACACACACACACACCCTAGCTAACAACACAGAGAGCAATAAAGTGCAAGGAGATATAAGTCTTTGGCCAGTGATTATTTTGCAAAACTTCCCCTCCCTTGGTTACTATATTGTACTATAATGGTATAGCACTATATAGTAATATATAATACTGATATTTTGCTATGCTAATAATATAATATATTGTATATACATATAATATTTATAATATTATGAAATATAATTTTGTATTATTATTATTAGTAGTAATATTATATTGTATTACATTATAATACGATATATTATATTATTAGCATAGTAAAATATCAGTATTATGTATTACTATATTGTTCTATACATGTAATATTACTAATAATATGACAATATAATGGTGTAGTAATATAATGTAATACAATATAATATAATCACAGTAGTATTATATTGTATTACATTATAATATGATATATTATATTATTAGCATAGTAAAATATCAGTATTATATATTACTATATTGTTCTATACATGTAATATTACTAATAATATGACAATATAATGGTGTAGTAATATAATGTAATACAATATAATATAATCACAGTAGTATTATATTGTATTACATTATAATATGATATATTATATTATTAGCATAGTAAAATATCAGTATTATATATTACTATATTGTGCTATACATGTAATATTACTAATAATATGGCAATATAATAGTGTAGTAATATAATGTAATACAATATAATATAATCACAGTAGTATTATATTGTATTACACTATAATATGATATATTATTAGCATTGTAAAATATCAGTATTATATATTACTATATTGTGCTATACATGTAATATTACTAATAATATGGCAATATAATGGTATAGTAATATAATGTAATGCAATATAATACTAGCATAGTAAAATATCGGTACTATATATTACTATATTGTGCTATACATGTAATATTACTAATAATATGACAATATAATGGTATAGTAATATAATGTAATACAATATAATACTACAACTAATAATACAAAATTATATTTTATAACATTATAAATATTATATGTATATACAATATAATATATTGTATTACATTATAATACAATATATTATATTATTAGCATGGTAAAATACCAGTATTCTATATTACTATATTGTGCTATACATGCAATATTATTAATAATATGACAATATAATGGTATAGTAATATAAAGTAATGCAATATAATACTACTAATAATAATACAAAATTATATTTTATAATATGTATATACAATATAATATATCGTATTACATTATAATACAATATATTATATTATTAGCAGAGTAAAATATCAGTATTATATATTACTATATTGTGCTATACATGTAATATTACTAATAATATGGCACTATCACGGTATAGTACAATATAGTAATATGTAATGCTGATATCTTACCATGCTAATAATATAATATATTGTATATACATATAATATTACTAATAATATGACAATATAATGGTACAGTACAATATAGTAATATGTAATACTGATATTTTACTATGCTAATAATATATTGTATATACATATAGTATTTATAATATTATAGTGTAATACAACATAATACTACTACTAATAATACAAAATTATATTTTATATTACATGTAATATAAAGAAAGAGGGAGGGGAGGGAGGAAAGAGCGAAGGAAGGAAAGACAAAAGGGAAGAAAGGAAGAGAAGGATGGATGGAAGAAAGGGAAGAAGGAAGGAAAAAGAGAAGGAGAGAAGAAAGGGAGGAAGAGAAGGATGGATGGAAGGAAGGGAAGGTTAAAGGAAAGAGAGAAGGAAGTAAAGACAAAAGGGAGGGAGGGAGGGAGGGAGGGAGGAAGGAAGGAAAGAAGGAAGGAAGGAGAAAGAGGACTAGAGGGAGGAAAGAGGGAAGGAAGGATGAAAGGGTGGAAAGGAAGGATGGACGGAAGGAAGGCGGAAGGAAAAAAGAGAAGGAAGGAAAAAGGGAGGAAGAAAAGGATGGAAGGAAGGGAGGGATAAAGGAAAGACAGAAGTAAAATATCAGTAGCAATATATAATACTGATATTTTACTATGCTAATAATATAATATATGGTATATACATATAATATTTATAATATTATAATGTAATACAATACGAATAATAATAGAAAATTATACTTTATATTACATGTAATATTACTAATAAAATGACAATATAATGGTATAGTACAATATAGTAATAAATAATGATATTTTACTATGCTAATAATATATTGTATATACATATAATATTTATATTATAATGTAATACAATATAATACTAATAATAATAATAATAATAATACAATATTATATTTTATATTACATAATAATACTAACAATATGACAATATAATGGTATAGTACAATATAGTAATAGATAATACTGATATTGTACTATGCTAATAATAAAATATATTGTATGTATATATATCTTGTAAGCCGCCGTGAGTCCCCTTCGGGGTGAGAAGGGCGGCATATAAATGTCGTAAATAAATAAATAGGTTGCTCACCGCTTGGCATCCGAGAGGTCGATGTTGGTCCCGAATTTGATAATATGGTGTGGTTTCTGGTCAGGGTTGCTGGAAGAGAAATAATGCATGTTATACGCCACTTTCAGCCAATGTTCCCCTGACTTGCACGTGGTCTATAATAACAAATACGGGCGGTGTGGGCTCTACCTTGGCGGCGGTGTCTCCGTTGTGCTGTCCGGTTCATCAGTCTCCTCGTCATCAGTCTCTTTGTCTTCCTGCCTCGATGGAAGAGAGAACAGTCAAGATGGAGCCCTCCCTCGTTCTAGATCAGACCTCGGCAAACTTTGGCCATCCTCCAGGTGTTTTGGACTTCAACTCCCACAATTCCTAACAGCCTATCTACAAAGGCTCATCTCCATTTCTAAGCCGAAGAGCCGGCATGTCTGTAGATGTCATGTGGCCAGCATGACTGCAAAGAGCACTGTTTACCTTCCCACCAAGGCAGTACCTATTGATCTACTCACATCTGCATGTTTTCAAACTGCTAGGTTGGCAGGAGCTGGGGCTAACACCCGGAGCTCACCCCATCCTGTGGAATTGAACTGCGAGCCTTCCGGACAGCAAGTTCAGCAGCTACATGGTTTAACCCTTTTGCCATGTGGCACAAAACAGTGGTGAATTATTCATCTTGGGCAGTGTTTCTCAACCTGGAGGTCTGGATCTCTTTTGGGGTCACGAGGGGGGTGTCAGAGGGGTCGCCAACGACCATCAGGAAACACACGTGTTTTCTGTTGTTCATGGGGGTTCTGAGTGGGAAAATTGGCCCCATTCCATTGTTGGTGGTGTTCAGCAACTACAACTCCCAGAAATCAAGGTCTGTTTTCCCCAAACACCACCAGTGTTCACATTTGGGCATACTGAGTGGTCATGCCAAGTTGGGTCCAGATCCATCACTGTTTGAGACCACAATGCTCTCTGGATGCAGGTGAACTACAACTCCAAAACTCAAGGCCAATGCCCACCAAACCCTTCCAGTATTTTCTATTGGTCATGGGAGTTCTGTGTGCCAAGTTTCATTCATTTCTATCATTGGTGGAGTTCAGAATGCTCTTTGATTGTAAGCGAACTATAAATCCCAGCATCTACCACTCCCAAATGTCATGGTCTATTTTCCCCAAATTCCACCAGTGTTCACATTTGGGCATATTGAGTGGTCATGCCAAGTTTGGTCCAGATCTGTCATTGTTTGAGACCACAATGCTCTCTGGATGCAGGTGAACTACAACTCCAAAATTCAAGGCCAATGCCCACCAAACCCTTCCAGTATTTTCTGTTGGGAGTTCTGTGTGCCAAGTTTCATTCATTTCTATCATTGGTGGAGTTCCGAATGCTCTTTGATTGTAGGTTTTGGCAGAGGCACCGCCCACTCTCCCCATGATATATAGCCAGTGGGAGGGGCTACTGCCTCAGTTCCTTTTTTCTGCCACACTTGCAGCAGTCAGAAGCCGCTCTCACTTGCTCTACTCTAGCTCTGACTGTTAGTCTACTTTATTTTGATCCTTTACTGAAATGTTGGACTTGACTTCAGACTCCTTGACCACCCCAAATGACAAAATCAACCCCCCTCCCCAACCCCACCAGTATTCAAATTTGGGCATATCGGGTATTTGTGCCAAATTTGGCCCAGTGAATGAAAATACATCCTGCATATCAGATATTTACATGACAATGCAGAACAGTAGCAAAATGACAGTTATGAAGTAGCAATAGAAATAATATTACGCTGGGGGGTCACCACAACACGAGGAACTGTATTAAGGGGTTGCAGCATTAGGAAGGTTGAGAAACACTGATCTTGGGGGTCTTTAAGCAGAGCTTGGGTGGACCTCTTTCAAGAGTGCTTTGATTGGAGTATTCCTGAGTGGGTAAAGGGTTGGACTAGATGGCCCCCGGGATCTCTTCAAAACTCTGTGGTCCTATGCAGACCTCGCACCATGCAACGCTCTCGAAGAAGAGCAACACGGGATGGGAAGAGGAGCAGAAAAAAAAGCTTGGCCGCGTCCTCACCTGAAGTGACTCCTGGAAAGAGGCCGCTTGGTACTGGGCGTACTTGGCGATGGTGGTGTGCGACCGGCTGCTCTCGCAGGGCCAGACTTGCTTCGTCCCCGAGGGGTCCCAGTTCTCGTCCGATGGCTGCTGCACCTGCGTGCGGACTTCGACGGTGTGCTCCCCGCTGGCCTCCACCAGGGTCTTTGTGCTGAAGAGGCCCAGGTCTGAGGAGAGAGATGGGGTCTCGTGATGAGATGCCCAAAGGCCGCTAGCATTCTTCCTTCACTCCCTGCTTCACCAGGCATGGGCACCTTGGGCCTCCAGGTGTTTTGGACTTCAACTCCCACCATTCCTAACAGCCGGTAGGCTGTTAGGAATGGTGGGAGTTGAAGTCCAAAACATCTGGAGGGCCCAAGTTGGCCCATGCCTGCCCTAAGGGAATCACTTTGATTTCCAACCATTTCCCCCTCGACACTGTGTGATGCCAATAGAAGTATTCCTGCCATTCCTCTGGACGTCACATAACAATTAATAACAATAATAATAATAACAATAGATCATATTCTCAGTTGCTGCAAGAAAATCGTGCAGACAGACTACAAGCAGAGGCACAACACCGTTGCTCAGATGATTCATTGGAACTTGTGCCACAAAGACCATCTGCCTGTGACAAAGGTGGCATCACAAGCATGAAAAAGTTACAGAAAATGAACATGTCAAACTACTCTGGGACTTCTAAATTCAGAGTTTTGGAGCACAATACTCCTGACCTTACGACTGTGTTAAAAAACAAAGTATGGATTGTTGATGTTGCAATCCCAGGTGACAGCAGGACTGAAGAGAAACAACTGGAAAAGCTAACATGATATGAGGATTTAAGGATCGAACTGCAAAGACTCTGGCACAAGCGCGTGCAGGGAGTCCCAGTGGTGATTGGCACACTGGGTGCAGTGCCTAAAGACCTTGGCCTGCACTTAAACACAATCAGCGCTGACAAAATTACCACCTACTAGCTGCAGAAGGCCACTTAACTGGGATCTGCATGAATTATTCGCCGATATTATTATTATTATTATTATTATTATTATTATTATTATTATCTTTATTTGTACCCCGCTAACATCTCCCGAAGGACTCGGTGCAGCTTACAAAGGCCAAGGCCCTCAATAAAACAACAGCAAACAAATACAATAATAAAACTCATAAAGCAAACCAATAAACATTAAAGCAATAACAGTAAAACATCAAAACAATACATCATGACACATTTAAAACTAGGGCCGGGCTAAATGTAATGAATAAATGAAAAGTGCTGGACATGACAGGTGAAATGGAAGGATTTTAGGGTAGGTGCGATGTGTAGACAATCTTAAATCTCTAGTAAAGTGCATTGGGGACACGATGCTGGGAGTTTCCTATTCTGGAAAGGCACACTGGAACAGCCAGGTCTTCAAGCTCTTCCTAAAGACTGCCAACGTTGGAGCTTGTCTGATGTCCTTGGGGAGAGAGTTCCAGAGTTGGGGGGCCACCACAGAGAAGGCCCTGTCCCTCATCCCCACCAAACATGCTTGCGACGCAGGTGGGATCGTGAGCAGGGTCTCTCCAGATGAACGGAGGGAACGTGTGCGTTCATATACGGAGATGCGGTCCCGCAGGTAGGCAGGTCCCAAACCGTTTAGGGCTTTGTAGGTGAGCACCTACACCTTGAGTTGGGACCGGAAAATGAATGGCAGCCAATGGAGCTCCTTAAGCAGGAGGGTTGACCTCTACATCACAAAGTCCTAGATACATCACAAAGTCCTAGACACTTGGGACGTGTCCGACGTGTGATCCAATACAACAACCAGCAGAGTGGTCTGGTCTGCTGTGGACTCATCTTGTTGTGTTTCTAATAATAATAATAATAATAATAATAATAATAATAATAATAATAATAATAATAATAATAATAATAATGTATTGTTGAAGGCTTTCATGGCTGGAATCACCGCCAATACCTGGGATTCCAGGGTCAGTAATGAGCCCAGGATCACCCCCCAGATTGTGGACCCGTGTCTTCCTCTCAAAAGGCTATCCAGCCCCACAGCTTCTGAGCTCAAATGCAAAACTATGGGTTCCCAAATATTGCTGCTGCTCCTCAGTTGCCCAACCTCAACTTCAGACTCAGAGCCGATGCTCCTAGGGCACACCCACTCCCCTGCCCCAGAAAGGCAATGCCCGGTGTCCCCAGATCCCCTGACTGTATATACTCACTGAGACGGAGAGATCCTGCCAAACCCCGGATGACGGTGATGGGGTTCTTGGGGTCCGTGCAGAACTGCAGGAGGACGGGAGAGAAAGCGTCCCGCTTGCTCTCCAGCTGAATAGAAAGGAACGTCAATTAGAAGACAAGATGACGGCGGGGACCCCTCCCTCAGCCCTCCCCACAGACCCAAACAACAGAAGCAATCCTAAGACAAACCCAAACTCAAAAGAACAATTAACCAAAAAGCAGTGCATCTACTAGTTCGGACCAATAGTCCACGCCAGCATAGCCATTCCTTAGATCCAGAGGCCTGTTGAGGCCAGAATCTCCCAATCTGGTGACTAGACCTAGTATTTCCCCCCACCCAGTCCCCCCTTTTGAGAGTACAGGCCTGAATAATGGTACTGTTCTTTGGTCCAGGTCCAAATCCCTCTGCTTCAACCCTCCCCTTAGATCCCATCCAAAGTATCCACTTATTCCCACTGGGTTCCTTTGGAAGTGGGTCCAGAAGACTTGCATCCCCTTGCTCTTGAGATGGAGATCCTTCACCAGATGGTTAAAATACAAGCAAAGAGGTTCCCTAGGGCACGCAGCATGGGGGATGAAGGTCTGTGCGTTCTAGGTTTGTCCGTTCTGTAGATGTCTCCACTGCAGCGTTCCAAAAGGACAAAGCTACAAGAGAACGTTCTTGCGCAAGCCCCTGCTGGGTTGGAAACGGACCATGGAAGAAGTTTCGGAAACTACGAGAGGGGCCAGCAAGGAAAGAGTTTCGTGCCATTCCGTGTCAGAAGCGGCTGAAGACTCTTGTCGGAAGCGGGGAAGCGCCGATGGATCCGAACCACCAAAAACATCCCAGAAAGTCAGAAGCAAAGTGTTCTGATTTCCACAAAAGTACACAAGGATATCCAGAATAGTGTTTTTTTATGCCAAGACAGAATGATCCTGATCATAAAAAATTCTAGAATTAGTCGTTTGAACGAGTGACGGTCACAAAGCGTTCGTGGCGAAACGGAAACGGAAGAATCCCAAGAGGAGCACAACGTCTTCTCGGAGGCTGGAGTTGCGTTTTGCTCTGATTCCCAGGAGCTCAGAAGCCTAGTTTCAGAAGCAGAGTGGACGTCTTCTGGGACGCTGAACTACACTAAGAGCAGTCAGAAGGCCATTAACATTAATGGTGCAATTGGTTGAGGAGAAGGGAGGGAAGGAAGGGAGGAAAGAAAGAAAGAAAGAAGGAAAGAGGGAGAGCGTATCTTGCAGGCAAGCAGGCATAATAATGGCCCAACAATAACCCAAGATGGAAATTGAAGTGAAACAAGGCAAAGGAGGGAAAACAAGGGAAAAAAAACAGAATGAGTTGCATGAGATGAGTAAAAGGTCCCAGAAAAGACAAGGGATACCTCCCTCCCCTTTTGCATCAGAAATCCATGGACACATACACACAAAAAGGGAGAATTGCAAGGGAATCTTATCAGCTGGAAAAAAAGGAACTGGTGGATATAACCTAGCCAACAGTTCAAGTTCTGTGGCAATTACATTAAGGAGCGATGGCAGAAAGAAATAGGGAGTGGTGGAGCCAAGCAAAGCTTTGTCCGCAGCCAGTTTGGAAGAATACAAGGATAAATTGCAAATATTTAGAGCAGCAGGTTGTTGTAGGTTTCTTCAGGCTATATGGCCATGGTCTAGAGGCATTCTCTCCTGACATTTCGCCTGCATCTATGGCAAGCATCCTCAGAGGTAGTGAGGTCTGTTGGAACTAGGAAAAAGGGTTTATATATCTGTGGAATGACCAGGGTGGGACAAAGAACTCCAGCAGACAAGAGTCCTTTGTCCCACCCTGGTCATTCCACAGATATATAAACCTAATTTTTCTAGATCCAACAGACCTCACTACCTCTGAGGATGCTCGCCATAGATGCAGGAGAAACGTCAGGAGAGAATGCCTCTAGACCATGGCCATATAGCCCGAAAAAACCTACAACAAGTGATTCCGGCCATGAAAGCCTTCGACAATACATTTAGAGCAGCGTTTGAACGCAGGGCCTTAACAAAAGATGCAAGCTGCTTGGCTCAAGAAGAAATACGCCAAAGCTGTGAATCCAGGAATTAATAGTTTAGGCCAGGACTGGGTAGGAAAGATGCTACAGGAACCTGAACACGTAAGATGCCTTCTTGCAAAACTGACCTTTCTTATCCAGCACTAGCTGTTCTTTGTAATGTCTTCAGCTTAGTATGTATCCCTGTCCTATGGACGCATGCAGCTCCATAACTTAATCTGATGGACAAGGTGCAATTTTCCTCCATTTCCTTTCCCAAAGAGTCCTTTTGAAAGCCTTATCTGATATCTTGGAGCCCCCAGAGGCACAATGGGTTAAACTGCTGAGCTGCTGAACTTGCTGACCATAAGGTCACAGGTTCGAATCTGGGGAGCGGCATGAGCTCCCGCTGTTAGCCCCAGCGTCTGCAAACTTAGCAGTTTGAAAACATGCAAAAGTGAGTAGATCAATAGGGAAGGTAACAGCGCTCAATGCAGTCATGCTGGCCACATGACCTTGGAAGAGTCTACGAACAAAGCCAGCTCGTTAGCTTAGAAATGGAAATGAGCACCAACTCCCAGAGACAGACACAACTGGACAATGTCAGGGGAAAAACTTTACTTAACTGATATCTGTCAGTGCATGCTTCATGTTGTTGTTATTGTTAGACACCGAGAACTGGGAAGCCCCAGCCCTTGAGCGCTCTAACTGGAGGTCAGCTGTGACCAGCAGTGCTGCGGAATTCAAAGAGCCACAATTGGAGGGGAAAAGGGAGAAACGTGCCAAGAGGAAGAAGGCGCATCAAGCCAACCCTGACCAGGACCGCCTTCCACCTGGAAACCAATGTCCTCAATGCGGAAGATCGTGTGGATCAAGAATAGGGCTCCTCAGCCACCTACAAACCGATCGCCGAGACACTACACTTGGAGGACCATCATCCTCGTGCTATGAGGGATTGCCTAAGTAAGTAAGTAAGTAGTAAGTATTGTTATTGTCATCACCACCACCGTGAATCATCTATCACAGGTTCCCAGCCTTTGGGCCTCCAGGTGTTTTGGACTTCAACTCCCAAAAATTCCAGCCAGCTTCCCAGCTGTTAGGACCTGTGGGAGCTGAAGTACAAAATACCTGGAGGCCCAAAGGTTGGGAACCACTGTGATAGAAAAAAGCCTTCATGCGGATTTCTTGGATTTTACGGGACTGGGGGGTGAAGGCTTGGCAGGTAAAGCAAAAGCGAGCCACATGGGCCTCTTCCAGGCACAACAGGTACATTGAGTGGCCATCAATGTTGGCCACATTGGGAGCACTTCTTAAAGAAGGTGGATACTTTGGCAGGAATGGGTGACCGGAGAGAGGCAAACAGGCCTGATAAGGGTTAGTCAGACAGTCCAGGTTAGTCATGGGATCACAAGAGTCGAGTCCAAGTTGTAGGGCAGAAGAATGGTCAAGGAGTTCGACGTCAAGTCCAAAATTTGAGTAAAGAATCAAAATAAAATAGACTAACAGTCAGAGCTAGAGTAGAGCAAGTGAGAGCGGTTTCTAACTGCTTCAAGTGCGGCGGAAAAAAGGAACTGAGGCAGTAGCACCTCCCACTGGTTATATATCATGGGGAGAGTGGGCGGTGCCTCCGCCAAAATCCATCTCATAAGAGCTTCTAGAGCAGTGTTTCTCAACCTACCTAATGCTGCAACCCCTTAATACTGTTCCTCACGTTGTGGTGACCCCCAACCATAAATTATTTTCGTTCCTACTTCATAAGTGTAATTTTGCTTCTGTTATTAATCGTAATGTAAATATCTGATATGCAGGATGTATTTTCATTCACTGGACCGAATTTGGCACAAATACCCGATACGCCCAAATTTGAACACTGGTGAGGTGGGGGGGGGGGAGTATTTATTTTCTCATTTGGGAGTTGTAGATTCTGGGATTTATAGTTCATCTACAATCAAAGAACATTCTGAACTCCACCAATGATTGAATTGAACCAAACTTGGCACACAGAACTTCCATGACCCAACAGAAAATACTGGAAGGGTTTGGTGGGCATTGGCCTTGAGTTTGGAAGTTGTAGTTCACCTACATCCAGAGAGCACTGTGGACTCAAACAATGATGGATCTGGACCAAACTTGGCACCGATATGCAATATGCCCAAATGTGAACATTGGTGGTTTTGGGGAGAAATAGACCTTGATATTTGAGAGTTGTAGTTGCTGGGATTTATAGTTCACCTACAGTCAAAGAGCATTCTGAAAGCCACCAGTGATAGAATTGGGCCAAACTTCCCACACAGAACCCCCATGCCTTGAAGGGACTCCCTCCAGCCTTGCACGCTCCCCCTTGCCTGCTCATGCGCACCACACTGCCATGCACTGAGCATGCTTGCTCTCCCCTCCCTGCTTGGAGTCTCGGAAAAGGCCCTCCCTTTGGCAACTTAGTCTATATACCGGGTCCTAGAGAAGTGCACTTGGAAAGGACTAGACGCAGATGGCCTTTTTCTATTTCTGCCCCTGCCTTATGGAATTCCTTGCCGCCCTATATGAGAGCCATGCGTGACTTAGGGCCTTTTACTCTAGCACTTAAGACCTGGCTTTTTACTAGAGCATTTGATCTCTGTAAATTGTTAATTTCTGTATGTATGTATTTTATCTTTTACAATTTAGCTGTAAATCGCCTAGAGCATTCTCGGATGGAGGGCGATTAATAAGTAATTAAATATGATGATGATGATGAGAGGTCACCCAATCACAGCAGAGGAGGGTTTTTGGTGGAAGATTCACTCAGTTTCCAAAAAGGAAGAAAAGGACAGGCAAAGAGATCTTCATCCTTCGCTGCCAAAGGGGTACCTAAGACCATCAGAAATATATGTTTTCTGATGCTCTTTGGTGACCCCTCTGAAACCCCCTCGCGGCTCCCCAGGGGTCATGACCCACAAGTTGGGAAACACTTGGGGGAGCCTCCACCACACTCTGGTGGAGGCTCCTTCTTTGGAAGCTTTTAAACAGAGGCTGGATGGCCATCTGTCAGGGGTGATTTGAATGCAATATTCCTGCTTCTTGGCAGAATGGGGTTGGACTGGATGGCCAATGAGGTCTCTTCCAACTCTAGGATTCTATGATTCTATGGCCATCAGAAATACATGTTTTCTGATGCTCTGGCGACCCCTCTGAAACCCCCTCGCAGCTCCCCAGGGGTCCAGACCCCCAAGTTGAGAAACACTGTTCTAGAGAGTTCTGAGATCGACTGTGCATGCACAGGAGACCCGTACGTGAGATTTCACAGAGACCACGCTGAAGAAAATGCGGCTTTCTTATTCATTACGTGAAAGAAAGACAACATCCCTACGATTCCAAGCAAAGAATCAAGTATCTCAACCTGTTCAGACTGGTCGACATAGAGAAGCATGAACAAGAAATGAAACTACCAGGAAGCTCTCATTGAGAAGGTGCCTGAAGACTCTGCAGCCTTAAAAAGCTAAATATATGTGTGTGAAAGACAAGAGGAGTCAGGGCACAAAGTGTACAGCTGCTTTCAGGAGGAAAGCAAAGAGGAAAATCGCCCTGCCTTCACGCTAAGCTCAGTGCCAAATCTTGCATTCTCGAAGAACAAGAAGTAACCATCCCGTTGAGTCAGGAGGTGGATCCCTCCTCCATACAAATGAGGCCGGACGGGGTAAACGATGCCAGCAAGCACAGAAGGGCTGCCGTGACGTCGAAGGAGTCGTACCAAGGTGGAGGTGGGAGCAGCTCTCCCCTCCAGACACAGATCTGGTGATGCTGCAGCCTCGTAAAATTTATACAAGGTGAGCATTCAGGGGGATGGACTGCAATAAAAATGAGATTTGCACTTTGGAGATTTAAGGGGGTAGACGTCATTGTGGGATGAGAAAGCTGAAACCACCGCAAAAGGAGGAAAGGATAAGAGATAGCAACGAAGAATAAGAAGACAGCAAAATCGAAAAAATGAAGTTACAGCTTCAAACCAGAACAGGATAGTGCAGTCACGGGCAAACTTAGGCTCTCCAGGTGTTTTGGACTTCAATTCCCACCATTCCTAACAGCCTCAGACCCCCTCTTTTCCCCCCTCCGCTGCTTAAGTGAATAATGGGGCCTCATCCGGGATTTAGAAAGGAAGTCCCTCAGTTTTGTCCTTCTGAATGTAAACAAAGGCTTAAACGATACTTAATGTTTTTGTTTCAAGGAGAAAACCCTTAAGACCAGGCATGGACCAAACTTGGGTGCTCCGGGTATTTTGGACTCCAACTCCCATCATTCCTAACAGCCTCAGGCCCTTTCCCCATCAGCCGCTTAAGCTGAGGCTGTTAGGAATGGTGGGAGTTGAAGTTCAAAACACCTGGAGAGCCAAAGTTTGCCCATGTCTGAGATACTGGTTTTCTTTGTACTCTCTTTGGTTTTAGCAGAGAGTATTTCCTTTCCAAAAGGAAAACGGAAAAGAAGGAGGGATGGAAGGAGGAGAAGAACCTAAAAAGGAAGAGAGAAGAACAGAAACACAAACAAGAATAGGGATGGACCAGTAGGGTAGGGGAACCCATTCAGAGAGAAAAGAGAGAAGCAGAAGAGAGACAGGAAAGGTTCCTTCTGAGTACCATCATTACGACTCCCCACAGTTAACAACCAAGACCCTTGTTGCCCAGTCTGGGTGGCCCCAGCTGTTGTGAGGTTGCCCCAAATGCATTATTTGAAACCCCAAGTCCACGGGGTGAGCAAGTGCAAAGGATCTCTGCCCTCAAGGTCTGTGTATCACCCAGAGGTTGGGAAGGAGACAATCCAAAAATGTCACCTTCCCAAACTCCGGGACGAGGGAGTAGCTTGGTTTGTTTAGTACAAGGCCTAAACAAACCAAAAATCAAAAACCAAGAGTTTGATCCATATTGAAGGCTCTGATCTGCCCCAGTTGGGCTTCTGAAATTCTGCTCATTAGCTCTCCCTCGTTTGAAAACCATGAGGGCCAGGACCTTGAATAATGATGATGCTTTTGAGTCTCCACAGTGACACCTTTGGCACATGAGGTCATTGCAGGAGTCCTGTGATGCCTGTGACCTCTCCGCCCTTTTGTCCCCATCCATTCAGGGCAACTGCCCGTCCTCCCGCCAGACCCCCGTTCCGTGCTCTTTGACTCTCCTCGCTCGCAAACCCCACTACTTCCAGCTCCTCGTTCCAGACACTCACATAGATGCTCGGAGTTGGAGGGTTGAGCTTATCCCGCGGGAGCTTTTCATCCATGTTGATCTGAGGTTTGACGGAGTTGCTGAGCGACAGGTAAGACTCCTTGAATTTCCCTTTTACCTTGGCATGCCTGTGAGGAAGAGACGGGGAAAGATGGTGACCGAAAGACACAAGCGGGTGAACACATTTAGGAATTCAAGTTGTTCTGTCGCGCGCTGTGCCTGTAACAGCTGTCTTTTCTATAGGACGTATACTTTAAGCCCAGCGGGAAGCCAGGGAGCCTCAAAGAGAGATTCTCAGTGATGGTCTTTAGAGTCTTTCATGATACAACAAAGTCTTTATTATGGAACAAACAACAAATCTTCAATGGTTCAAACAACACTTCAAGGCTTTCTTAGTCTAGTCCTAAATAGACTGGTAGCTGACTTTGATTAACTGTACTTTCTCTGTAAGAAAAAACCCTATTTAACCTCTCCCAGGCTGTTTACTATCTATGCCTCATTGGTGTGGGTCCTACTACCGATTCCAAATGCGTCCGGGTATCGAGTAGACCTACCAGCCGAAGCTTGTAGATATTTCAGCTGGAGTTCAGTGGATCTGTAATGCTGTCCTCCAAGAATTCTTTGAAAACTTCAGGGCTCTTTTCCCTCTGATTGCTGTGAGGCTGAGAGGTTGTGAGCTCTCAGCCAGAGCCTTGGGACCTTTCCCCTGGAATTTCTGTTTCTGTTTCCCCGGATGTTCTTGAGAAAAGAAACTTTTCTACGGGACGAGCTGGTCTACGTCTTATAGTTTAGTTTCCTTATGTGAGACTGCCCAAAAAATGGCCCCTTTCCCTCCCAGAGCCCTGAACAAGGGGCAGAACCAAAGCTTAATTATGATGGACAGGAGGCCTGCCCTATGACTGCAAACAGAAAACAGAAAGAAAATAAAGCTGGAGCTCCTGGTACAGCCATACCAGCACACAAGTGTTTTTCGCGTCAATTGAGGAAGAGGACCTCTGCTAATGTTGACAACGACTATCTGCAATCAGAATGTGGGAACAGCTTACTCCCTTTTCTAGGAGATGGCACAGGGATTCTAGGAGTTGTGGTCCAAAAAAAGAACTTGCGTTGAAGTCGCAACGAGCCGCTGGAGACAACACATGAAGGTGTGTGTGATTGAAATACTAAGAGCACCTCTGTTGCCATTTCACCTGATGAACCTGGGTGAAGTCTCAAGGTAAACACCAAATTCAGGGCCTTCTTTCTCAAGCTTTGAAATGCAAAGTCTCCCTCACCTCCTTCCCACAGTCAAAACACTTCTCTAAATCGGCCCTAGTTCTCCAAGCAAGGAGCTATGAAATGGTTAAACACAACCCCTCCAAAGCTTTAGGTGCTCTTACTGCCTATTACAGGGAAAACCAGCTGATTCCTAATCCATCTAAAATGCAAACATGTGCTTTTCATCTTAAGAACAGGCAAGCATCTTGCACACTGAGGATTGCCTGGGAAGGAATCCCACTGGAGCATTGCAGCACACCCAAACACCTGGGAGTTACCCTGGACCGTGCTCTGACTTACAAGAAGCACTGCTTGAATATCAAGCAAAAAGAGGGTGCTAGAAATAATATCATACACAAGCTGACTGGCACAACCTGGGGATCACAACCAGACACAGTAAAGACACCTGCCCTTGTGCTTTGCTACTCTGCTGCTGAATATGCATGTCCAGTGTGGAACACATCTCACCATGCTAAAACAGTGGATGTGGCTCTTAATGAGACATGCCGCATTATCACAGGATGTCTACGCCCCACATCACTGAAGAAATTATATTGTTTAGTTCAGTGATTCTCAACCTGTGGATCCCCAGGTGTTTTGGCCTACAAATCCCAGATATACCAGTTTACCAGCTGTTAGGATTTCTGGGAGTTGAAGGCCAAAACATCTGGGAAACCACAGGTTGAGCTGGTATTGCACTACCTGACATCCGTCGGGAAGTAACAGCTAATAATGAAAGGATCAAGGCAGTGACATCTCCAACTCATCCTCTGTTCAGATATCAGCCAGCATGCCAATGCCATAAATCAAGAAATAGCTTCCTAAGATCTACTTGCAGAAACATCTCAGCAAGCGAGAGTCCAAAAGTGGCAGGCTAAAACCCGGAACCTCAAGCCATGGCTGATACCAAATGAAAGACTCCCCCCTGGGTACAAAGAAGACTGGGTGATTTGGAAGGCACTGAAAAGACTGTGCTCTGGCACCACGAGATGCAGAGCCAACCTTAAGAAATGGGGTCGCAAAGCTTCCTAAGATTTACAGAGATACTTGCGGGAACATCTTAGCAAGCAAGAGTCCAAAAGTGGCAGGCTAAAACCAGAATCTTCAATCAGTGGCTGATGCCAGATGAGAAACTTCCTGGGCACATAGAAGACGGGGAGACTTGGAAGGCGCTGAACAGACTGTGCTCTGGCACCACAAGATGCAGAGCCAACCTTCAGAAATGGGGCTGCAAAGCTTCCTAAGATTTACAGAGATACTTGCAGGAACATCTCAGCAAGTGAGAGTCCAAAAGTGGCAGGCTAAAACTTTGAACCTCAATCAGTGGCTAATGCCAGATGAGAAACCTCTTCCTGGGCACAGAGAAGACGGGGCGACTTGGATGGCGCTGGACAGACTGCGCTCTGGCACCACAAGATGCAGAGCTAACCTTAAGAAATGGGGCCGCAAAGCTTCCTAAGATTTACAGAGATACTTACAGGAACATCTCAGCAAGCAAGAGTCCAAAAGTGGCAGGCTAAAACCAGGAACTTCAATCAATGGCTGATGCTAGATGAGAAACTTCTTCCTGGGCAACTTGGAAGGTGTTGAACAGACTGCGCTCTGGCACCACGAGATGCAGAGCCAACCTTAAGAAATGGGGCTGCAAAGTGGAGTCCACGACATGCGAGTACGGAGAAGAGCAAACCTATTACAGAGAACCTATTAACAGAGAACCTCCCGCCAGACCCCCGTTCCGTGCTCTTTGACTCTCCTCGCTCGCAAACCCCACTACTTCCAGGTTTACCTTCCAGGTTTACCTTGTAAACTTATTACAAACCTATTACAGAGAAGACCACCTATTACAATGGAGTCTGAGCTCTGCCACATGCACAATGGAGGACCTTCTCACACAGTCACCAGAAGCATTCCAAGTGGCCAGCTTCTGGTCAAAGGACATTTAGTACAATGCCAAGTTTTTGACTTTGTGTGTGGTTTAAAATACATGACAACTGTACCCCTAATTTGCTTCTGACTACCCTTGTTCTCAAATCTGCACAAACGCTTTGCAAATGATAATTAGAACTGCTTTGAGGTGCAATGCATAGGGAATTTATTTATCGTGTCATCAGCAACCAGACATTTGTATTACATTTTTAACAAAAACCACTTGGAGTGCCTCTGGTGTTACTATAAGAAGGTCCTCCCTGGTGCATGTGGCAGGGCTCAGGTTGCATTGCAGCAGGTGGTCAGTGGTTTGCTCTTCTCCCCACTCACATGTCGTGGATTCCACTTTCTAGCCCCATTTCTGAAGGTTGGCTCTGCATCTCATGGTGCCGGAGCGCAGTCTGTTTAGCGCCTTCCAAGTCACCCAGTTTTCTGTGTGCCCAGGGGGGAGTCTCTCATTTGGTATCAGCCATTGATTGAGGTGCTGGGTTTGAGCCTGCCACTTTTGGACTCTCGCTTGCTGGGGTGTTCCAGCGAGTGTCTCTGTAGATCTTAGAAAACTATTTCTTGATTTAAGTCATTGACGTGCTGGCTGATACCCAAACAAGGGATGGGCTGGAGATGTCTCTGCCTTGGTCCTTTCACTATTGGCTGCTACTTCCTGGTGGATGTCAGGTGGTGCGATACCGGCTAAGCAGTGTAATTTCTCCAGTGATGTAGGGCGCAGACACCCCATGATAATGCAGCATGTCTCATAAGAGCCACATCCACTGTTTTAGTGTGATGAGATGTGTTACACGCTGTGCATGCATACTCAGCAGCAGAGTAACATAGCGCAAGGGCAGATGTCTTCACTGTGTCTGGTTGTGATCCCCAGGTTGTGCCAGTCAGCTTTTGCATGATATTGTTTCTAGCAGCCACTTGCATGGGGAGGGGTTTTTGAAAAGGAAAAAAAAAAAGAGGGACAGACTGAACTCTCCAGGAACAAAACAATAGAGGGAAGACATCCAGCACAAAGTGTGCTCCAATGTCCTCCATTTCATGAAACAGACTCCATTATCAGTCCCTTTCCTCCTGCTATCTCTGCAGCTTCTCTTTTTTGGCACTCCGGGACCCCCTTCTCTATCTCACAACACACACACACACACACACACACACATATTCTTACTTTCCAGGACAGAGGACACAAACAGCACATGTGTTCGCTTCAACCCAAGCCTGCCTGATCATGTCCAAAAAGGCAGATTGCAGACATGATGATGACTGCAGATGTGTGCGAGAGAGACAGAGATGGCGAGACAGCACACATTTCCCTCTCCCATCCATCTTGGAACGGGTCCTATATGGGAGGAAACTGGGGACGCAATAATCTATTTCCTCCCCCACACACATACTATTTTAAATCTTTCATAGAAGGACACTATGTGAGTTGATTCAACTGATCCTATTGTACATATGTTGTTCTGAATTAAGAAGAGTAAACGACTTGTTTTTACTGTTCACCTGCATGGCATATTTTCTTTCTCTGGCAAGGCAGTGTGTGGGCTGATCCAACGTGAACTACACGTGGTTTATTTTACATTATGTCACAGCACTTCTCAAGGACTACCTTGCAGTTCTTCTCAATGGTTTTGCCCATTGCTAATTAGACCCCTTCCTCCCATTTAATTGTCGCCATATGCCCAGATTCTCTCAGAAACATTCATTACAGACAGGCAACGTTTTCTTCAGCCGCCCCAAGATTGCAGAACGACCTGCCAGAAGAGATTTGACAGCTGAATACCCATTTAATTGTCGCCATATGCCCAGATTCTCTCAGAAACATTCATTACAGACAGGCAACGTTTTCTTCAGCCACCCCAAGATTGCAGAACGACCTGCCAGAAGAGATTTGACAGCTGAATACACTAAATTTTAAACGGTAATGAAGATCCATCTCTTCTGGCAGGTCTTTCCAGATGTTGTTTGATGTTTATTAATTCAGAATATATAGGAGCTGCTGCTCTTCTTTTAGGGCAACCACTGAGGTTGGCATAAAATGAGTGAATTAAACTGCATTCTCTGGTATAGGTTTCTGCAGATGGAGAACTAATGGGAGAAAACACAGGTGAGGATATGGACATGAGGAGAACCTGTGAAGTTTCCACTCACTTGCTGGCCCGCACCACTTCCGCAGCCGAATGGTTGATGGTGAGTTCCCCCAAGGGGATCCTGCGTTCCTCCACCTCGGAGGCGATGAAGGTCTCCTTGTCGCCACTCTCCACTTTGATGAGGCGGATCTTCAGCTCTTTCGGAGGCCCCTCGGTTAAGGAGCGCAGCTTGAGTAGGTCAGCCGAGCACACGACTGTGGAGCCCGTTGTGCTGAGCACCCCCTCGTCTTTCTTGATGGTGGGCTTCCGCTCGGGTTGGGGGACCGGTGGTGGCGGCAACGGCAGAGACGGCAATGGTGGGGGAGGCGGCGGCGGCTTGGCCCCATTCTCCCGCGCCTGGCTCTCGCTGCTCTGGACATCTAAGCTGCCCAGGATCTGCCGGTTCTTCTCTTTGTGGGCCTTGCCTTCCCGGTGCCGCCGAGACCCGTCCTTCCCGGAGCGGCGGTGTCGACGGTGCTCGCGGTCCCGTTTCCGAGACTCATCCTTGGGTCGCGGGGTGGGAGGAGGTGGAGGGGGCGGTGGTGTGGGGGCCCTGACCGGAGGAGGGGGGACAGGGGAAGGAGGGGGAGGAGTAGGAGGAGGCGAGGGTGGTGGTGGTGGCTGCGGGGTGGCGGGCGGCGGAGGGGTCTTCTCCCTCTCTGCTCGCTCCACAAGGGTCTCGCACGCTCGACTGATTTCTTCCAGCACCTCTGATTCCGTCTTGATTGGCCGGGTTGGGGGCGGGGGTGGAGGGGTGGTCACCCGCTCAGCCACCGTCCCAGCTCCTCCGACCCAGGGTTGGCTTGAGGTAGAGAAATGCGGCACAGTGCTCTGGCTGGCGGCAGCCAGAGGAGGCATCTTAGCACCTGGTGGGGTCAGAGGTTTTGGCCGATAGGAGTGCTTCTGCCCCTCCAGCACATTGGCCAAAGACTTCAGCAGAGAGGCAGTGCTGTGGTGAGGGAACTTCCTGCTGCCTGCTCCTCCACTACTACTAGTAGTATTTCCTCCTCCTCCCGTTGCTGCCGCAACCACTGCTGTCGGAGGGGGCCTCTCCTCTGCATCACGTTTGCCGAAGCGGTACAGGCAGGGAGGCTCTGGTGGATCCTGCCCGGACGGCTTGGGGTAATCAAAGGAGGAGGAGGAGGAGGATGGTGGAGGCTTCGGTCTCGCCAAAGGCGGGGGGCTTGGCAGAAGCGGGGCTGAGGGTGGTGGCGGTGGGAAGCTCTCTTCACGCTCTTCCTCCCCGCGCCGGATTGACTCGTCCAGCATCTTCATGATGTTCGCCAGGCCATCCGGTAGGATCTTGGAGAATTCTGGGGGCTCCTCAAACTGGTGCTCCAGCGGAGGGCTGGCGAAGCCGAAGAGGCGTTCTGGGGCGGCCTCTGGGGCCGGAGGCACCTCGGGCGGCTCAGGTGTCTTTGGATAGGAGGCCCGAGGCGGCTGCGGGGGTGACGGTGGGGGCTGCGGAGGCAGCGCTGGTGGCTGAGGAGGGCTCTCTGGCGACCGGAAGGTTCCTGAGGTAATCGAGGGGCTTGGGGTCAGCGCTGGGGTGCCGCTGGAACCTTTCTCTTCCTGGCCACTTTCGGGCAGCCAGAATTCATGGGGTGGAGAGGGCACGGGGCTGGCTGATCTCAGGGGGCTGGACTTCTCCACTGGCTCTTCTCGGGGGAGAGAGAAAGACCCCTTCTGACTGCTGGTGTTGGAATCCTGGAAACTGCGCCCCGCCTCACAAGCTGCCAGCAGTGGAGGTTCCTCCCGGCGGGGTTCCCCACATCCAAACAAAATATCACTCAGAGGGTCACTGTTAGCTTCTTCCTCTCCAGCCTTGCTGCCAAATGCCGCCGGCCCTTTCATCCAGGGCATAGGAGGCGGGGGTGGAGGGGGTGGTGGGGGTGGGGGTGGTGGAGGGGGCGGGGGGCACTGTGGGGTGGTGGGTGGGGGCCGTGCAACCACTGGTGCTGGAGGCCCTCTCGTGATGGTGGGGGGAGGCGGCATGCGAGCACAGGGCATGTTGCGGGGGGCAAGGCAGGGCGCTGGTCGCGGTGGTGGCGGCGGCGGAGGAGGATGTTTGCGGCCTCCGCTCTCCTGGGCAGGACAGGACTGGTCCAGTGCCGGTGTTTGGTAATGATCAGACCCCTGCAGGGATGGACAAGAAGGATGAACAATTAGAAGGCAGATGACAGGAACCATCACTGGGTAACAGTTCCTCCCCTCCAACCTAGAGCAGGCATCAGAAACGCTTACAACTTTGATTGCAGAAAGCTCATTAAACATTCTGTGAAACTTTCTAACAAAAGGCCTTTAAATGCTCCTAAGAAGTAACTATAGGAAGTACGAGGGATATTCAGAAAGTAAGAAAGTAAGGCACGTTGCTCTCGTGGGGAATTTTTGCAGGGAAGTTGGTATAACTGCTGTGTAGCGGGGAGCCGGCGGAAGTGAATGAGCAGTGCCAGTCGTCAGTAGCTCATTGACTGGCATTGTGGTCAAGGTCAAAAATGAGCAATCAGGCCAAAGAAAAAGGATTGGTTCTAAAGCACTTTATGTTCTCCTGACTTTGCCAAAGTTGCTTAATGCTTATACTTATTTTAGTCCTCTTTGCAGATTCAATAATTTTATTTATTATTATTAGACTGATTCTAAATGATGGCGGCTGCAGCCAGCCCTTCAGATGCTGAGCATTGCATTCTGGGAAATGTAGTTTACGGCAGGCCTCGCCTTCCCAAACTACATTTAAGATGGCCATGTTCTCAATTTTAGTCTCGCCCCCAGTGTCTTCCTTATGGTAGTTGGGCCAAAGATAAAGGATTGATTTTTATTTATTTATTTGCAGTATTTGTATTTTTAAAGCGCTTTATGTTTTCTTGGCTTTACCAAAGTTGCTTAATGCTTCTACTAAAAATTAAACTGACCTTGGGAGACATCTGAATGTTACAGAATTTTAACCAAAAATATTGATGAGTGTTTCAATTTCTAACCCCTCCCCATTTTCCTGTATGTTTCTAATATCGCTTCGTATGCATGGATTCAATGAATTTGATCCGAAATACGAATTAACAATGAAATTACGCACACCCCTAACACTGAAAATTAAACTGACCTTGGGAGACATCTGAATGTTACAGAATTTTAACAAAAATTATCGACGAGTGTTTCAATTTCTAATCCCTCCGCCGTTTCCTGCATGTTTCTAATATCGCTTCGTATGTACGGATTCAACGAATTTGATCCGAAATACGAATTAACAATGAAATTACGCACGCCCCTAACACTAAAAATTAAACTGACCTTGGGAGACATCTCAATGTTACAGAATTTTAACAAAAATTATTGACGAGGGTTTCAATTTCTAACCCCTCCCCGCTTTCCTGCATGTTTCTAATTTCGCTTTGTATGTACGGATTTAACGAATTTGATCCGAAATATGAATTAACAACGAAATTACGCACACCCCTAACACTAAAAATTAAACTGACCTTGGGAGACATCTCAATGTTACAGAATTTTAACAAAAATTATTGACGAGGGTTTCAATTTCTAACCACTCCCCACTTTCCTGCATGTTTCTAATATCGCTTCGTATGTACGGATTCAACGAATTTGATCCGAAATACGAATTAACAACGAAATTACGCACACCCCTAACACTAAAAATTAAACTGACCTTGGGAGACATCTCATTGTTACAGAATTTTAACAAAAATTATTGACGAGTGTTTCAATTTCTAACCTCTCCCCACTTTCCTGCATGTTTCTAATATCGCTTCGTATGTACGGATTTAACGAATTTGATCCGAAATACGAATTAACCACGAAATTACGCACACCCCTAACACTAAAAATTAAACTGACTTTGGGAGACATCTGAACGTTACAGAATTTTAACCAAAATTACTGACTAATGTTTCATAGGGCTGGGCAACCACGGAAAAATTTGTTTCTAAACTCGATTCGTTTTTTGGGTTTTTTTGCGTTTTGATATTTAAATGAATTCCGAAATTTTTCTTTAAAGAAGTTCGATATTTACGAAATTTCGTAAATTATGAAACGATTTCGAAACGAATACGAATCGATTCGTTAATGGCGGACGCAACCGCGCAATACGCTAAAAAACCTCCATATGGGACAGGGGGAACTTTTGAAGCTTCCCTCTCCCTCTGTTGTTGACTGTTGGTGTGATATTTATAATTTTTTTTCACTAATTAAACAAACAACAGCTGTAAAACTTGCCCCAGACATGCGGAAATAATAACGAAACGATTTCGAAATGAATACGAAATGAATATGAAGCAATTACGAAACGAATTAAAAAATTCGTTTCGTTTTTCAGATGCTCCTAAATGGTTCAAAATCGCTTCGTTATAATAAAAAAATAACGAATTTTTAACGAATTACGAAATTACGAAACGAAACCGCCCAGCCCTAGTGTTTCAATATCTAATCCCTCCCCCCTTTCCTGTTTCTAATATTGCTTCGTATGTACGGATGTAACGAATTTGATCTGAAATACGAATTAACAACGAAATTACGCACACGCCTAATACTCAAAAGTTGAATAATCAAATCAAATCCGACATCTTCTCTACTCACAAGGCTGTCAAGGGGTGGCTGCCCTCGCGAGGTGGTCTTGCTGGTGGCGGGTGGGCCTCCCGGGGTCGGGCGCGGGGCGTAAGGCACGCAGGCAACGGTTGCTGGTGTGGCGGTGGAGTCCGGACGCGCCCGGGGGACCCGGCTGTCTCTAAGGTCACTTCCGTTGGGCCGGGCCAGGCAGCCATGGCTCTCCAAGGACGGGCGGTGTGCTGGCGGTGTGCGAGGGCTGGGCGCCATAGCCGAAGGGCGGTGAGGGGGTGGGTGGGAACCATAGGCGGGAGACGGGTACGGGAAGGGATGAGCCACCGAGTTCCTCTGCTCCTAGGTTAGAGGAGGAAGAAAAGGGGAAATGAAGATGTCACAATGTCACAAACGATTAAGTCAGGCATGAGCAAACTTCGGCCTTCCCTCCAGGTGTTTTGGACTTCGACTCCCACAATTCCTAACAGCCGGTAGGCTGTTAGGAATTGTGGGAGTTGAAGTCCAAACACCTGGCGGGATGAAGCTTTGGTTTCAAGCTAGAACACTCATCTGTTGAGGGGGAATGGCAGTTTGGGGAGCAGTGGAAGGCAGCCTTACTTGTCTCTCTGGGGCAGCCACATTCTTGCGCTCTTGTCCCCAGGAGTCTCCGTGGAGCGGGTTCCACAGTCCCGGTTTAGGCAGCTGGTAATGGGGGTTGCCGGGGATGCCGGGCCCCGGCGGGTGGTGGCCAAGCCCGTTCCCGTTCTGCTCCAGCGTAGAAGTTAGCAGAAAGAAAGCCAGGCACGAAGGGAGACGCACACAGACAGACAGACGCACACAAAGACAGCGGAAGAGATGGGTCACACCGCTAAGCATCCCACGGCATGTCTCCCCAAAGCTTTCTCCTTGCACCCAGTCCCAAATCCAGTCCAGCCTCTCCTCTTCACAGAGCTGAGAAAAGACGCCTTTGTAGTAAAGGCACTTCCTAACTTTCTCACTAGGCTAGGAATGCGCAAACTTCGGCCCTCCAGGTGTTTTGGACTTCAAATCCTGATGGGCTGCTGGCAATTGTGGGAGTTGAAGGGCCGGGCTTTAGCACAGCTGGTTAATCACCAGCAACAATAGATCTTTGCACAATTAAGACTTGTGTGCCAACTGCGACCATACCTGGTGAAGGAGTATCTGGCCAGGGTGGTCCATGCCTTAGTCACCTCCAGACTGGACTACTGTAATGCACTCTACGTGGGGCTGCCCTTGAAAACGGCCCAGAAATTTCAATTGGTTCAACAGGCGACTGCCAGGTTGTTAACTGGGGCTCCTTACAGGGAGTGGTCAACCCTACTGTTTAAGGAGCTCCACTGGCTGCCATTCATTTTCTGGACCCAATTCAAGGTGCAGGTTCTGACCTACAAAGCTCTGAACGGTTTGGGACCTGCCTACCTGCGTGACCGCATTTCTGTGTACAAACCCACACGATCTCTTTGATCGTCTGGAGAGGCCCTACTCGCGCTCCCACCTGCATCGCAAGCGCTATTGGTGGGGACAAAAGAGAGGGCCTTCTCGGTGGTGGCCCCCCGACTCTGGAACTCACTTCCTAAGGATATCAGGCATGCCCCAACTCTGGCAGTCTTTAGGAGGAGCTTGAAGACGTGGTTGTTCCAGTGTGCCTTCCCAGAATAATGAACCCTTAGCATTATGTCCTCCAAAAGCACTTTATACTGATTTAGGATTGCTTGTATGTTCCCCCAACGCCCCCACCTCCTCTATCTTGTTCATGCCCAGCATTACTTTTTAACTTAATTACATTTGGCCCAGCCATAGTTTTTAAATGTGTTTGTTGCCACTGTTCAATGTTTATGCTATTTGTGTATGAGATTTATTTTAATTGCTTCGTATTAGTATTACTTGTTGTTATTGCTTTTATTATTGATGTATTGTAGGCTCTGCCTCATGTAAACCGCACCGAGTCCCTTGGGGAGATGGTAGCGGGGTACAAATAAAGTTTTATTATTATTATTATTATTATTATTATTATTATTATTATTATTTACCTGTATTCCATATGGCCATGGTCTAGAGGCATTCTCTCCTGACGTTTTCGCCTGCATCTATGGCAAGCATCCTCAGAGGTAGTGAGATCTGTTGGAACTAGGAAAAAGGGTTTATATATCTGTGGAATGACCAGGGTGGGGCAAAGGACTCTTGTCTGCTGGAGCTATGTGTGAATGTTTCAACTGACTACCTTGATTAGCATATAATGGCCTAATAGTGCATGGAGCAATCTTTTGTTGAGAGGTGATTAAATGTCCTTGTTTTGACATGAAAATATTCAAGATAGAATCATAGAATCATAGAATCAAAGAGTTGGAAGAGACCTCATGGGCCATCCAGTCCAACCCCATTCTCCCAAGAAGCAGGAATATTGCATTCAAATCACCCCTGACAGATGGCCATCCAGCCTCTGTTTAAAAGCTTCCAAAGAAGGAGCCTCCACCACACTCCGGGGCAGAGAGTTCCACTGCTGAACGGCTCTCACAGTCAGGAAGTTCTTCCTCATGTTCAAATGGAATCTCCTCTCTTGTAGTTTGAAGCCATTGTTCCGCGTCCTAGTCTCCAAGGAAGCAGAAAACAAGCTTGCTCCCTCCTCCCTGTGGCTTCCTTTCACATATTTGTACATGGCTATCATATGCTAATCAAGTTGGTCGGTTGAAACATTTACACCTAGCTCCAGCAGACAGGAGTCCTTTGTCCCATCCTGGTCATTCCACAAATATATAAACCCCTTTCCAAAGTTCCAACAGACCTCACTACCTCTGAGGATGCTTGCCATAGATGCAGGCAAAACGTCAGGAGAGAGTGCCTCTAGAGCATGGCCATATAGCCCGAAAAAACCTACAACAACCCACTGAATATTTGCCTGTGTCTGTTTATATATCTGCTCTGAGTCCCTTCGGAGAGAAGGGCGAAATATAAATAAAGTATTATTATTATGTTGTTATTATTGCACCACCTGCAGAATTTGAGGAATGGTAGCCCAAAAGCAAGAGAGTGACTCTGCACATGCCTTGGCAAGCGGGCAAGCAAGCGGGAAAAGACGTATGCTTGGGGAGAGAGGGAGGGGAGGCCTCACAATCCGGTCATTCACCGCCCCAGTGGCCCGCCTCGCATGGTTGGTTTTGTGCAAGCGACGTCCCTTCCGTACCTGGTCCGGGCTGGAGCTCCTCCGTCTCTTCATGGGGGCGGGCATCTCCTCGGCGTGCCCCGAGTGGGGAGGGTGCTGGACCGGGGGGATCGGCTGCACCACGGGGGGCTCCATGGGGGGACCAGGCCTCTTCAGCTGGGGGTTGCGCTTCCCGGGGAAGTTCCTCTTCTGGAGACAGCAAAGAGGAAAGGAACAGGGAGAGAAAGCAAGACGTTTAATCCCTTTTATCCACTGACACACTGGCAATCTTGCAAAGAAATGGAAAACATAAACAGTAACCCCACACACACCGCTGCCAGAGTGAATTGCGGCATGCACAGTCTCTCCACCTAATGGCAGAGACGATAATAAGACATTCAATTTGTTTTTGAAGGCTTTCATGGTTGGAATCGCTGGGTTGTTTTCCAGGCTGTCTGGCCATGTTCCAGCAGCATTCTCTCCTGACGTTTCGCCCACATCTATGGCAGGCATCCTCAGAGGTTGTGAGGTCTGCTGGAAACTAGGCAAGTGGGGTTTATATATCTGTGGAATGATGTCCAGGGTGGGAGAAAGACATCTTGTTTGCTTGAATGTTGCACTTGGCCACCTTGATTAGCATTGAAAGACCTTGAGGACCTTGAGGTTAAACCCCTGTGCTGGCAGGACTGAAGACCGACAGGTCATAGGTTTGAATCCGGGGAGAGGCGGATGAGTTCCCTCTACCAGCTCCAGCTCCTCATATGGGGACATGAGAGAAGTCTCCCACAAGGATAATATAAACATCAAATCATCCGGGGCAAAAACCTCCCAACGAAGGATTCCCCCAGGCAGGAAGCAACCAGGCTTTGAAGCTGCAAGGCAATGCTAACCAAGATGGCCAATTGCAACATTCACACTTGCTTCCAACAGACAAGAGTTCTTTCTCTCACCCTGCACATTATTCCACTGATATGTAAACCCCACTTGCCTCGTTTCCAACAGACCTCACAACTTCTGAGGATGCCTGCCACAGATGTGGACAAAACATCAGGAGAGAATGCTTCTGGAACATGGCCAGACAGCCTAAACCCCGCCAGTATGTTCAGTTGCTGATTAATTCCTCTGTCTGCTGTGTGCCATGGAAAATAGGAAAGGGTTAAGGGAGAGGCAGTGGGTAGGGGTCATGCAAATTCCACACCAATGGAGAGAGTAAGGAACAGTGGGATGTCTGTGCTGGAGGAAACACAGAAAATCTAGGACTAAATGGTCCCCTTATGAAATCCTTCACTTGGGTAGTGTGGTGTAGGTGGAGGACATTGGTAGTGTTCTTGGACATGTTCACGGCACTCGCTATAACGGTTTTTGTGGATCCTCATAGGTGGGAATCATAGCTATTCGTGGAGGAGGGAGCTTGTCTGTGTAAGTGGACACCATAGCCACATACAGACATACATATTCTCTCTTTATTATGCATATAGATCGTTGTTGTTGTTTGCCCCTATTCTGAATCATCTGAGCAATGGTGTTATGCCTCTGCTTGTAGTCTGTCTGCCCGATCTTCTTGCAGCAGCTGAGGATATGATCTATTGTTTCATCTGCTTCCTTGCAGAGCATTATTATTATTATTATTATTATTATTATTATTATTATTATTATTATTACGAGCTCTATATGCTAGATTTCATATCATAAAATCACAAGTTGAACACTTCCCAAGTGTCTAGGACAAAGGAAAAACGAGGCATATTATTATTATTATTATTATTATTATTATTATTATTATTATTATGCAGTGTCATCTATGTAGATGACACGCAACTCTACTACTCTTTTCCACCTAGGAAGCCCCTCGGGTGCTGAATGAGTGCCTGACCGCTGTGGCTGTCTGGATGAGGACAAACAAGTTGAAGATCAATCCCGACAAGACAGAGGTCCTCCTGGTCGATCGTAAACCGGATCGGGGTATAGGGTGGCAACCTGTATTGGACGCGGTTACACTCCCCCTGAAGTCACAGGTCCGCAGTCTGGGTGTCCTTCTGGACTCATCACTGATGCTTGAAGCTCAGGCGTCGGCGGTGGCCGGGAGGGCCTTTGCACAATTAAGACTCGTGCGCCAACTGCGACCGTACCTCGTGAAGGCGGATCTGGCCAGGGTGGTCCATGCCTTAGTCAGCTCCAGATTGGACTACTGTAATGCACTCTACAGGGGCTGCCCTTGAAAACGGCCCGGAATTTTCAATTGGTTTAACGGGCGGGTTGTTGTAGGTTTTTTCGGGCTATATGGCCATGTTCTAGAGGCATTCTCTCCTGACGTTTCGCCTGCATCTATGGCAAGCATCCTCAGAGGTAGTGAGGTCTGTTGGAACTAGGAAAATGGGTTTATATATCTGTGGAATGACCAGGGTGGGACAAAGGACTCTTGTCTGCTAGAGCTAGGTGTGAATGTTTCAACTGAACCTTGATTAGCATATAATGGCCTGACAGTGCCTGGAGCAAACTTTTGTTGAGAGGTGATTAGATTAGAAAGAAACAAGGACATCTAATCACCTCTCAACAAAAGATTGCTCCAGGCACTGCCAGGCTATCAAATGCTAATCAAGGTGGTCAGTTGAAACATTCACACCTAGGTCCAGCAGACAAGAGTCCTTTGTCCCACCCTGGTCATTCCACAGATATATAAACCCTTTTTCCTAGTTCCAACAGACCTCACTACCTCTGAGGATGCTTGCCATAGATGCGGGCAAAATATCAGGAGAGAATGCCTCTAGTCCATGGCCATATAGCCCGAAAAACCCTACAACAACCCATTGAATAATTGCCTGTGTCTGTTTATATACTGTAATCTGCTCTGAGTCCCTCCGGAGAAAAGGGGGAAATATACATAAAGTGTTATTATGTTGTTATTATTATGCCAACTGCAGAATTCGAGGAATGCCAGGTTATTAACTGGTGCTCCTTACAGGAAGAAGTCAACCCTCCTGTTTAAGGAGCTCCATTGGCTGCCATTCATTTTCCGGTCCCAATTCAAGGTGCAGGTTCTTACCTACAAAACCCTGAACGGTTTGGGACCCGCCTATCTTTGTGACCGCATTTCTGTATACGAACCCACACAATCTCTTCGATCATCTGGAGAGGCCCTACTCGCGCTCCCACCTCCATCGCAGGCACAATTGGTGGGACGAGGGACAGGGCCTTCTCAGTGGTGGCCCCTCGACTCTGGAACTCACTTCCCAAGGACATTAGGCATGCCCCAACTCTGGCAGTCTTTAGGAGGAGCCTGAAGACATGGTTGTTCCAGTGTGCCTTCCCAGAATAAGGAAACTCCCAGCAATATGTCCTCTAAATGCACGTTACTATGGATCTAGGAGTGTCTGCATGCCCCATCCCTCTCTGAAAACTTTATCCTACTTCATATTACATCTGTTCATGCTCAGCATTATTTTTAAATTTTAATTATTGCATTTGGCCCAGCCATAGGTTTTTAAACGTCACTGAGTTAGTGTTATTGTTTATTGTTTATTTTTTGTTATGAGTTTTATTTTATTGTTTTGTATTATGTATTGTTATAGCTTTTATTATTGATGTATTGTGGGCTCAGCCTCATGTAAGCCACACCAAGTCCCCTGGGAGATGGTAGCGGGGTATAAATAAAGTATTATTATTATTATTATTATTATTATTATTATTATTATTATTATTATTGTTTGCCCCTATTCTGAATCATCTGAGCAATGGTGTTATGCCTCTGCTTGTAGTCTGTCTGCCCGATCTTCCTGCAGCAGCTGAAGATATGATCTATTGTTTCATCTGCTTCCTTGCAGGGTATTATTATTCTTCTTCTTTTACTGACAGAAGACACAGTATGTCACAGCAAACAAGATCTATATGCTGGATTTCGTATAATAAAATCACAAGTTGAACACATATGAAGTAGGATAAAGTTTTCAGAGAGGGATGGGGCATGTGAAAAAGATCTTGGAGTCCTCGTGGACAACAAGTTAAACATGAGCCAACAATGTGATGTGGTGGCAAAAAAGCCAATGGGATTTTGGCCTGCACCAATAGGAGCATAGTGTCTAGATCTAGGGAAGTCATGCTCCCCATCTATTCTGCTTTGGTTAGACCACACCTGGAATATTGTGTCCAATTCTGGGCACCACAATTGAAGAGAGATATTGACAAGCTGGAATGTGTCCAGAGGAGGGCGACTAAAATGATCAAGGGTCTGGAGAACAAGCCCTATGAGGAGCGGCTTAGGAGCTGGGCATGTTTAGCCTGAAGAAGAGAAGGCTGAGAGGAGATATGATAGCCATGTATAAATATGTGAGAGGAAGCCACAGGAAGGAGGAGCAAGCTTGTTTCCTGCTTCCCTGGAGACTAGGACGCAATGGAACAATGGCTTCAAACTACAAGAGAGGAGATTCCATCTGAACATGAGGAAGAACTTCCTGACTGTGAGAGCCGTTCAGCAGTTGAACTCTCTGCCCCGGAGTGTGGTGGAGGCTCCTTCTTTGGAAGCTTTTAAGCAGAGGCTGTATGGCCATTTGTCAGGGGTGATTTGAATGCAATATTCCTGCTTCTTGGCAGAATGGGGTTGGACTGGATGGCCCATGAGGTCTCTTCCAACTCTTTGATTCTATGATTCTATGATTCTACTTCCCAAGTGTCTAGGACAAATGAAAACCGAGACTACTACTACTACTACTACTACTACTACTTATTATTATTATTATTATTATTATTATTATTATTATTATTATGTCTCGGTTTTCATTTGTGAAGCGTCAGAAGGCTATGGCATAAACATTGCTGAGTTCACTGGCGCTCATTCCTCGGTAAGGACGTCTAGGATGGATGTTGTGTCACCGGAATAGCTTAGACTTTACAAGGCCACCGGATTTCTTGAAAAACAAGTCCTTCTTCATTTCAAAAATTACATGGCAATTATCTCTTAATCAGGTAACTGCATCTGACGGGGCCGTATTTTCCTGGAATTGACGGTTTGCACCCAAACCCGACACTATCAAGTTATTCTTGCTGTTTGAACTTATATAAAAGATCTATGCATTGCGTGGGAGGAGAATAATCTTTAAAATTTAATACGGGGTGAAAAGCTATTAAAAGCCGTGGAATTAACCACAGATTAAAAAGGAGGGGAAAAAAAAACTGCTTGCATTCATCAACATATATAAAATCGGAGTTATATAACTTCGACACATAATAACAATGCTAAATGGATACAGTATTATTCAGCGATCACCGAGGAAGTGGATTTCACAGCAAGGCTGCACAAGGTGATAAAAACACTTCACAATCTGTAAACTCCTTGACAGGGTGAAAGGTGCCAGAGAATTAAATGTTTTAAATGAATCAGAAACCAACCTGGCCTTTGGTTTCAATTTATGTGAGACCAAGGGGCGCTTCCAGAGATGGATTAGAGAGATGGGCCAAAGCTAACAAAATGAAGTTCAACAGTGACAAATGCAGGATACTCCACTTAGGCAGAAAAAACGAAATGCAAAGATGCAGACTGGGGGACAATGCCTGGCTCGAGAGCAGGACCTGTGAAAAAGATCTTGGAGTCCTCGTGGGCAGCAAGTTAAAAATGAGCCAACAATGCCCAGCTCCTTAAGCCGCTCCTCAATATTTTGTTGAAGGCTTTCATGGCTGGAATCACTGGGTTGCTGTGAGTTTTCCGGGCTGTCTGGCCATGTTCCAGAGGTATTCGCTCCTGACGTTTCCCCTGCATCTATGGCAGACATCCTTAGAGGGATAGCCAATACTCCAGAGGACAGGAGCAGAATTCAAAACAATCTTGACAGATTAGAGAGATGATTGGCCAAAACTAACAAAATGAAGTTCAACAGGGACAAATGCAAGATACTCCACTTAGGCAGAAAAAATGAAATGCAAAGAAACAGAATGGGGGACAATGAGGCCTGGCTCGAGAGCAGTACGTGTGAAAAAGATCTTGGGAGTCCTTGTGGACAACAAGTTAAACATGAGCCAGGAATGTGATGTGGCGGCAAAAAAAGCCAATGGGATTTTGGCCTGCATCAATTGGAGCCTAGTGTCTAGATCTAGGGAAGTCATGCTCCCCATGCTCTATTCAGCTTTGGTTAGACCACACCTGGAATATTGTGTCCAATTCTGGGCACTACAATTGAACAAGCCCTATGAGGAGCGGCTTAAGGAGCTGGGCATGTTTAGCCTGATGAAGAGAAGGCTGAGAGGAGATATGATAGCCATGTATAAATATGTGAGAGGAAGCCACAGGGAGGAGGGAGCAAGCTTGTTATCTGCTTCCCCGGAGACTAGGACGCAAAACAATGGCTTCAAACAACAAGAGAGGAGATTCCATCTGAACATGAGGAAGAACTTCCTGACTGTGAGAGGCGTTCAGCAGTGGAACTCTCTGCCCCGGAGTGTGGTGGAGGCTCCTTCTTTGGAAGCTTTTAAACAGGGGCTGGATGGCCATCTGTCAGGGGTGATTTGAATGCAATATTCCTGCTTCTTGGCAGAATGGGGTTGGACTGGATGGCCCATGAGGTCTCTTCCAACTCTTTGATTCTATGATTCTATGAGATGCAATCGAATTTGTGACCCGCGCTATCTTCCTGCACCTCTTGAAAAGGAGCTAATATTGAAGAATGTCCCTGAATGGCACTTCTCATCAGCACACATAGTGGCAAGGGATGTTGGGAGCTGTAGTCCAACCACACCTGGTGGGGCACAGGAGGAGAGCCCCCTTGCTCCCCACTCACCTCAAGGTGCAGGAGGTTCCAGACCTGTTGCAGAGGAGGCAACGCCTTTGACCGGTGATGAGATGAACCGGAGTGGAAATTCCACAGCTGAGCCTAGGAGAAAGGGGAATGCAAGAGAAGGGCGTCAGTAAGGCTAACTCATGCATGGTCAAACTTAAGCCTTCCCTTCCATTGTTTTGGACTTCCAACTCCCACAATTCCTACCACTGATAGAGGTTAAGCATAAAACACCTGGCGGGCCAAAGCTGGCCCATGCCTGGGCTAACTGGTGATAACTGTTAGGAACTAGGAAAATGGGTTTATATATCTGAGGAATGACCAGGATGGGACAAAGAACCCTTGTCTGCTGGAGCTAGGTGTGAATGTTTCAACTGACCACCTTGATTAGCATTTGATGGCCTGGCAGTTGTTTGGTGTGGCTTGTTAGTGCCTGGGGCAATCTTTTGTTGAGAGGTGATTAGATGTCCCTGATTGTTTTCCCTCTGCTGTTTTAATTTTAGAGTTTTTTTAATACTGTTCGCCAGATTTTGTTCATTTTCACGGTTTCCTCCTTTCTCCTGACATTGTCCACATGCTTGTGGATTTCAATAGCTTCTCTGTGTAGTCTGACATGGTGGTTCTGAGAGTGGCCCAGCATTTCTGTGTTCTCAAAACAGCAGAGGGAAAACAATCAGGGACATCTAACCACCTCTCAACAAAAGATTGCTCCAGGCACTTCCAGGCTATCAAATGCTAATCATGGCTGGAATCATTGGTTGTTGTAGGTTTTTTCGGGCTATATGGCCATGGTCTAGAGGCATTCTCTCCTGATGTTTCGCCTGCATCTATGGCAAGCATCCTCAGAGGTAGTGAGGTCTGTTGGAACTAGGAAAAAGGGTTTATATATCTGTGGAATGACCAGGGTGAGACAAAGGACTCTTGTCTGCTGGAGCTAGGTGTGAATGTTTCAACTGACCACCTTGATTAGCATTTGATTGCCTGGCAATGCCTGGAGCAATCTTTTGTTGAGAGGTGATTAGATGTCCTTGTTTGTTTCTATTGTTTTGATATATTATATCTGTCAGATCATTATATGCTAATCAAGGTGGTCAGTTGAAACATTCAAACCTAGCTCCAACAGACAAGAGTCCTTTGTCCCACCCTGGTCACCTCCATCTATGGCAAGCATCCTCAGAGGTAGTGAGGTCTGTTGGAACTAGGAAAAGGGTTTATATATCTGTGGAATGACCAAGGTGGGACAAAGGACTCTTGTCTGCTGGAGCTAGGTGTGAATGTTTCAACTGACCACCTTGATTAGCATAATCTCATTTTACTCCCAGCAGACAAGTTGAAACATTCACACCTAGCTCCAGCCATAAATGCAGGCAAAACGTCAGGAGAGAATGCCTCTAGAACATGGCCATATAGTTAGAATTTTTTAATACTCGTAGCCAGATTTTTTTCATTTTCATGGTTTCCTCCTTTCTCTTGAAATTGTCCACATGCTTGTGGATTTCAATGGCTTCTCGGTGTGTTTCCAATTGTGCCACGCATGAGGCAAACCTATCATGGAGGTTTCTTGGCCATTTTCTGCCCCAGTTGGACTTTGCCTTGCTTTGGGTCTGAGGGGGGTGTGTGACATGCCCAAAGGCAGGGCATTAAAGGAGTGAATGTCAATAAGGCAATGCCAACTTGTATCTGCCTTCCCCACCCTCCCTCCTCACGTCAGACTTCCTCCCTGAGCAGCCGCACCTGCTGAAGGCGTCCAATCCGGGCGTGCATCTCGCCATAGCTCCCATAGTCGCGCTGGTACCGGGCCGCATTCTGATAGCAGTGCACGGCCTCTTCACAGTCCTGCTCCGACTCGTAAATCTCACCCAGTTGTTCCCAGAGCTGCGGCTGGCCCTGGTCCCGGAGCAGAGCCTGGACGCAGCCGTGGATGGCCTCCAGCTTTCCATGGAGAGGCCTTGGGGGCAGGTTCCTGGTGCAAAGCGGAGGGAGAACCATGAAAACATAGGCATATCCCCCAGTCCTGTGTTGAAACTGTGCAAAACACACACTGGCGGCGCCGCACACACTCACAGAGGACGGTCTCTCTTGCACCATACATTCACAATCTCTCTCTCTTCTATCTCACCAGCTCCAAAGTCCAGACCCACACAAAGGAGATGTGCACATATACACCCAGCTTTGCCCCAGATAGTGTGGCTTTATCGGCAGGCACACAAAAGGCATGGACACACACGAGAACCAAGGTCGCACTTCAGAGCCAAAAGCATGAAGACCCAAGCATTGTGCCAAACTCTAAGGCAGTGTTTCTCAACCTTCCTAATGCTGCGACCCCTTAATACAGTTCCTCATGCTGTGGTGACCCCCAACCATAGAATTATTTTCGTTGCTACTGGGGGGATTGATTTTGACATTTGGGATTTATAGTTCACCTAAAATCAAAGAGCATTCTGAACTCTACCAGTGATGGAATTGAACCAAACCTGGCACACAGAACTCCCATGACCGTCAGAAAATACTGGAAGGGTTTGGTGGGCATTGTCCTTGAGTTTGGGAATTGTAGTTTACCTACATCCAGAGAACACTGTGGACTCAAACAATGATGGATCTGGACCAAACTATGCCCACATGTCAACACTGGTGAAATTTGGGGAAAATAGACTTGATATGTGGGAGTTGTAGTTGGTGGGATTTATAGTTCACCTACAATCAAAGCGCATTCTGAACTCCACTAACAATGGAATTGAACCAAACTTGGCATATAGAGCTTCCAGGCCCAATATAAAATACTGAAAGGGTTTAGTGGACATTGACCATGAGTTTGGGAATTGTAGTTTACCTACATCCAAAGAGCACTGTGGACTGAAACAATGATGGATCTGGACCAAACAATGCCCACATGTCAAATTTGGGGAAAATAGACTTGATATGTGGGAGTTGTAGTTGGTGGGATTTATAGTTCATCTACAATCAAAGAGCATTCTGAACTCCACTAACAATGGAATTGAACCAAACTTGGCATACAGAGCTCCCATGCCCAACATAAAATACTGGAAGGGTTTAGTGGACATTGACCTTGAGTTTGGGAATTGTAGTTTACCTACATCCAGAGAGCACTGTGGAATCAAGCAATGATGGATCTGGACCAAATTTGGCACAGACACTCAATATGCCCAAATGTGAACACTGGTGGAGGTTGGGGAAAATAGAATCTTGACATTTGGAAGTTGTAGTTGCTGGGATTTATAGTTCATCTACAATCAAAGAGCATTCTGAACTCCACTAACAATGGAATTGAACCAAACTTGGCATATAGAGCTTCCAGGCCCAATATAAAATACTGAAAGGGTTTAGTGGACATTGACCATGAGTTTGGGAATTGTAGTTTACCTACATCCAAAGAGCACTGTGGACTGAAACAATGATGGATCTGGACCAAACAATGCCCACATGTCAAATTTGGGGAAAATAGACTTGATATGTGGGAGTTGTAGTTGGTGGGATTTATAGTTCATCTACAATCAAAGAGCATTCTGAACTCCACTAACAATGGAATTGAACCAAACTTGGCATACAGAGCTCCCATGCCCAACATAAAATACTGGAAGGGTTTAGTGGACATTGACCTTGAGTTTGGGAATTGTAGTTTACCTACATCCAGAGAGCACTGTGGAATCAAACAATGATGGATCTGGCCCAAATTTGGCACAGACACTCAATATGCCCAAATGTGAACACTGGTGGAGGTTGGGGAAAATAGAATCTTGACATTTGGAAGTTGTAGTTGCTGGGATTTATAGTTCATCTACAATCAAAGAGCATTCTGAACTCCACTAACAATGGAATTGAACCAAACTTGCCACACAGAACTCCCATGACCAACAGAAAACACTGGAAGGGTTTGGTGGGCATTGACCTTGATTTTTGGAGTTGTAGTTCACCTACATCCAGAGAGCACTGTGGAAGAATGATGGATCTGGACCAAACTTGGCACAAGATCAGGACCAAACTTGGCACGAATACTCAATATGCCCAAATGTGAACACTGGTGGAATTTGGGGGAAAATAGACCTTGACATTTGGGAGTTGTAGTTGCTGGGATTTATAGTTCACCTACAATCAAAGAGCATTCTGAATCCCATCAACGAGAGAATTGGGCCAAACTTCCCACACAGAACCCCCATGGCCAACAAAATACTGTGTTTTATAATGGTCTTTCTCTTACACCCCCTCGGGACCCCCCCACCAGGGGTCCCGACCCCCAGGTTGAGAAACACTGCTCTAAGGGGAGTTGCTGAGGGATTTGGAGAAAAGAAGGCTGAGAGAAGGGGACAAGGGAGCCAGGTTTAAATATCTGAAAGGATGTCATATTGAGGAGGGAGCAAACTTGTTTTCCTCTGCTCCGGAGTCTGGGACACAGTGGTGTAATATGCCAGTGGAATATTAGTATATTGGTGTCTCCTTCATTGAAGGTTTTGAGTCAAAGGCTGGATGGCTATCTATTGGGAAGGCTTTGGTTGTGTCTTCCTGCTTGGCAGAATGGGGTTGGAATGGATGGTCCTGAGTGTCTCTTAAAACTCTCTGATTCTATGACTCCTCCACCTCTTTCCATTGGGAAATGTGCCTTGGTTAAAAGGACACTGCAGACACGTAAACATTGTATTGTCGAAGGCTTTCATGGCCGGAATCACTGGGTTGTTGTAGGTTTTTTCGGGCTATATTGCCATGGTCTAGAGGCATTCTCTCCTGACGTTTCGCCTGCATCTATGGCAAGCATCCTCAGAGGTAGTGAGGTCTGTTGGAACTAGGAAAGGGTTTATATATCTGTGGAATGACCAGGGTGGGACAAAGGACTCTTGTCTGCTGGAGCTAGGTGTGAATGTTTCAACTGACCACCTTGATTATCATACAATGGCCTGACAGTGCCTGAGCAAACTTTTGTTGAGAGGTAACAACCAGGCACATCTTAACACCGCTCAACAAAAGATTTTCCCAGGCTCAGCCAGGCCTTCAAATGCTAATGAAGGTGGTCAGTTGAAACATTCACACCTACCTCCAGCAGAGAAGGGCTCTTTGCCCCACCCTGGTCATTCCACAGATATATAAACCCCTTTTCCTAGTTCAAGCAGACCTCACTACCTCTGAGGATGCTTGCCATAGATGCAGGCGAAACGTCAGGAGAGAATGCCTCTAGACCATGGCCATATAGCCCGAAAAAACCTACAACAACCCACGTAAACATTGTCCATTGTTTGCATCCAGTCAAATTGTGTACTGTTTTGATGATACATAGTTCTAGTTTATGTGTGGCACCTTGGGTGCTTTGTTAGTCGCACCGAGAATCCTTTGGGGAGATGGTGCTTGGATGCAAATAAATCCTAATACATTATTATTATTATTATTATTATTATTATTATTATTATTATTATTTGATACATAACAAGATTAGTACACAGTAATCAAGATCACTGTGCTGGCTTTTGTATCGAATCACATAGAATCCTAGAGTTGGAAGAGACCTCATGGGCCATCCAGTCCCCTGCCAAGAAGCAGGAATTTTGCATTCAAAGCACCCCTGACAGATGGCCATCCAGCCTCTGTTTAAAAGCTCCCAACGAAGGAGCCTCCACAAGACTCCAGGGCAGAGAGACAATTGGGACATGTTGGACATGGCCCCAATTGTCTAGGACTGTGTGATGTATTGGCATATAACGCGTGCCAATCCGAGTAAGGTGGCCTTTTGCAGCTGACAGATGGTAATTTTGTCAGTGCCGATTGTTTTTAAGTGCAAGCCAAGGTCTTTAGGCACTGCACTCAGTGTGCCAATCATCAATGGGACCACTTTACAGGCTTGTGCCAGAGTCTTTGAATTATTATTATTATTGGCAATTTTGTCAGCGCCAATTGTTTTTAAGTGTAAGCCAAGTTTTTTAGGCACTGCACCCGGTGTGCCAATCATCAATGGGACCACTTTACTGGCTTGTGCCAGAGTCTTTGAATAATAATAATAACAACAACAACAGAGTCTTTGAATTATTATTATTATTTCAGCGCCAATTGCTTTTAAGTGCAAGCCAAGGTCTTTAGGCACTGCACCCAGTGTGCCAGTCATCAATGGGACCACTTTACTGGCTTGTGCCAGAGTCTTTGAATAATAATAATAATAACAACAACAACACCCTGCATCCTCTTCCTAATTGGGATTTGGAGAAACAGCTGGCACCCCCTCATAGCACCAGCACCCCAGATGCCTTGCTCTGCTCCTCTCCTCTCCCCTACCCGCTGGGTGCCCGTGGTGCCCACACTAAAAGAGCCCTTACCCTGAAGGGAAGTAGCCTTTGTTGTGCTGCCCCATGTTAGCACCGTGGTTGGGCGGCAGGTGCGGGGGCAGCTGGGGCTGACCCACGCTGGCGGAGCACCTGGAGCGGGGAGAAGAAGCAGGGAGTCGGCATGGAAGCAGGTACAAGCAAGGCAATGGGTGAGACAGAGCAAGAGCAAGCAAGCATGGAAGAGAAGCATCTGCAGCCCCGCATCTCCCAGGTGTGTTTGCCCTCCTGCCCAGAGGAAGACTTACCTGCCGCCCGGGAGCCATGGGCGGGAATGGCACGGACTCCAAGCTCCGTTGCAGCCCAAGCTGCCGAGAGAGAAAGGGTCCCGTCCAGCACGGACCCCCAACTGCTCCACTGTGCGATGCATCCAGTCTGAAGGAGAGGGAGAGAAAGAAAGAAAGAAAGAAAGAGGGGTTGGACCTTCCAATGTCCCACCTCCTTGTGTCCACTTCTTCTTGCAGCATTCCTTCCTAGTCCCAGCCCATTTCTCCTCTCCTAGAGAGTGTGTTTGGATACGTTACTCTTTGACTACAGCTTCCAAAATTATTATTATTATTATTATTATTATTATTATTATTATTATTATTATGTTTAATGTATTGTCGAAGGCTTTCATGGCCGGAATCACTGGGTTGTTGTAGGTTTTTTCGGGCTATATGGCCATGTTCTAGAGGCATTCTCTCCTGACGTTTCGCCTGCATCTATGGCAAGCATCCTCAGAGGTAGTGAGGTCTGTTGGAACTAGGAAAAAGGGGTTATATGGCCATGGTCTAGAGGCATTCTCTCCTGACATTTCGCCTGCATCTATGGCAAACATCCTCAGAGGTAGTGAGGTCTGTTGGAACTAGGAAAAAGGGTTTATATATCTGTGGAATGACCAGGGTGGGACAAAGAACTCTTGTCTGCTGGAGCTAGGTGTGAATGTTTCAACTGACCACCTTGATTAGCATATAATGGCCTGACTGTGCTTTCTTAAATTTTCTTAAATTAAATTGGAACTCGGAAAAAGGGTTTAGATATCTGTGGAATGACTAGGGTGGGACAAAGAAATCTTGTCTGCTGGAGCTAGGTGTGAATGTTTCAACTGACCACCAACAGCACAACAACAATTACAACAGCACAACAACAGAGAGGAAACAAACAAGGACTTCTAATCACCTCTCAACTCTTGTCTGCTGGAGTTAGGTGTGAATGTTTCAACTGACCACCTTGATTAGCATTGCCTGGGGCAATCTTTTGTTGAGAGGTGATTAGATGTCCCTCTTTGTATATGTTAAAGCATGGGATAATTGCCATATGTCAGCCACCTTGAGTCCCCTTTGGGGTAGAGAAAGGCAGGGTATGAATTGGGTAAATACAGAAATAAATAATAAATATTTGTATATTTTAAATTGTATTGCGGTGCTTTTAATGTTAGCCACTTTAAGTCTCCTTCTGGAGAGAAAAACACAGGATATAAATAAACATAATAAATTGTAGGTTTTTTCGGGCTATATGGCCATGGTCCAGAGGCATTCTCTCCTGACATTTCGCCTGCATCTATGGCAAGCATCCTCAGAGGTAGTGAGGTCTGTTGGAAGTAGGAAAAGTGGGTTTATATATCTGTGGAATGACCAGGGTGAGACAAAGGACTTTTTTCTGCTGAGGCTAGGTGTGAATGTTTCAACTGACCACCTTGATTAGCATTCAATGGCTTGGAAGTGCCTGGGGGGAATCTTTTGTTGAGAGTGATTTTATGTCCTTGTTTGTTATATCTAATCACCTCTCAACAAAAGTTTGCTCTAGGCACTGTCAGGCCATTATATGCTAATCAAGGTGGTCAGTTGAAACATTCACACCTAGCTCTAGCAGATAAGAGTCCTTTGTCCCATCCCGGTCATTCCTCAGATATATAAACCCTCAGAGGTAGTGAGGTCTGTTGGAACTAGGAAAAATGGGTTTATATATCTGTGGAAAGACCAGGGTGGGACAAGGACTCTTGTCTGCTGGAGCTAGGTGTGAATGTTTCAACTGACCACCTTGATTAGCATTTGATAGCCTGGCAGTGCCTGGAGCAATCTTTTGTTAAGAGGTGATTAGATGTCCCTGATTGTTTTCCCACTGCTGTTTTAATTTTAGAGTTTTTTAATACTGGGAATTGTAGTCGCCGGTTGTGGGTACATTATCAGCCAATCAGAGCATGGACACAATCAGGCCTTTTGTTAGCTGAGAAATAGAAAAAACTTCAACTCCTATCATGCTTCAAGAGAAACTCAAGAGACTTTTCAATGCCAGACTCATGCAAGTGCTGCTGGGAAAGTGTTTATCTGCATGAGAAAGAAGCCCAGCGTGGAAGCAAAGAAGGAAGTATAAAAAACTTTGTGTAATGGAAACCCTGCTTTTGTAAATAAAAAGTAAAGGTTTTCCGCTGACATTAAGTCCAGTCGTGTCCGACTCTGGGGGTTGGTGCTCATCTCCATTTCTAAGCTGAAGAGCCGCTGTTGTCCATAGACACCTCCAAGGTCATATGCCCAGCATGACTGCGTGGAGCGCCATTACCTCCCCGTTTTGTTTTTTTTTTTGTCGTGTCAGGAACATCCTGTTGTGAGAGAATTGGCTGTCTGCAAGGACGTTGCCCAGGGGATGCCCAAATGATTTTGATGTTTTTTTATCATCCTTGTGGGAGGCTTCTCTCACGTCCCCGCATGAGGAGCTAGAGCTGATAGAGGGAGCTCATCCGCCTCTCCCCGGATTCGAACCTGCGACTTGTCGGTCTTCAGTCCTGCCGGCACAGGGCTTTAACCCACTGCGCCACCTTCCCGCTGGAGCGGTACCTATTGATCTACTCACATTTGTATGTTTTCAAACAGCTAGGTTGGCAGAAGCTGGGGCTAACAGTGGGAGCTCACCCCGCTCCCCGGATTCGAACCTGTGACATTTCGGTCAGTGAATTCAGCAGCTCAGTGCTTTAACGCACTGCACCACCGAGGGCTCGCATTTTTGTAAACAGTGCAACCATATTATTTTGCTATAAAGAACCCCCCCCCCCCCATGGAAGAGACAACATTGGGTTGTGTGTTTGTGTTCTTTTTATCACTTTTGGCTACTGGTGCTGGGTCACACTGCTGCTAACAAGTGACTCTGCTATACATTTATGGGGAGGGTCTCTCTATGCACACGTATCTCTCTATGCACAACCCCAAATCCGGCTGTGCCGACTCCCCTGCCTTGCCTAGCTGCTCGTTTCCGCTTTTTGCTCTTACCTCTTCTGCCGCAGTGGATGCGTCTTGGTGCCCCACCCTCCACCCCCCCAGGATCGGAGCGATGGGTGCCCCCACCCAGTGTCTTGCTGGCTGCGTGTCCTCTGGTTTAGCCTCTCTTCCAGTCACAACCACATACAACGCTGGAGTGGGAGACAGGGTCAGGGAGAGAATGGAAGGAGAGACAAGAAAAAGAAGAAGAGACCGTCATTCGAGGTTGAAGGAACATGCTTCCATCTTTCAGGACTCGTTTACAGCTTATGTTTCGTGCATGGGCAAACTTCGGCCCTCCGGGTGTTTTGGACTTCAACTCCCACAACTCCTAACAGCTGGTAAATGCTTAACATTTACACAAATGATCGGCCACTGCCAGAAGGGACAGAGAGTTTCATCTATGCTGATGATTGTGCCATCACTGCTCAAGCAGGGAGCTTTGAAAAGGTTGAGAAGAAGCTCTCTGTAGCTTCTTTTCAACTCAGGCAGCAATGTAGAGGAGGAATACAGAATGGGGGGCGATGATAGAGTTTCATCTATGCTGATGATTGTGCCATCACTGCTCAAGCAGGGAGCTTTGAAAAGTTTGAAAAGAAGTTCTCTGTAGCTTCTTTTCAACCCAGGCAGCAATGAAGAGGAGGAATACAGAATGGGGGACGATGCCTGGCTCGAGAGCAGGACGTGTGAAAAAGATCTTGGAGTCCTCGTGGACAACATTAAATATGAGCCAACAATGTGATGTGGCGGCAAAAAAAGCCAATGGGATTTTGGCTTGCATCAATAGGAGCATAGTGTCTAGATCTAGGGAAGTAATGCTACCCCTCTATTCTGCTTTGGTTACACCACACCTGGAATATTGTGTCCAATTCTGGGCACCACAATTCAAGAGAGATATTGACAAGCTGGAATGTGTCCAAATGATCAAGGGTCTGGAGAACAACCCCTATGAGGAGCGGCTTAAGGAGCTGGGCATGTTTAGCCTGAAGAAGAGAAGGCTGAGAGGAGATATGATAGCCATGTATAAATATGTGAGAGGAAGCCACAGGGAGGAGGGAGCAAGCTTGTTTTCTGCTTCCCTGGAGACTAGGACGCAGGAACAATGGCTTCAAACTACAAGAGAGGAGATTCCATCTGAACATGAGGAAGAACTTCCTGACTGTGAGAGCCGTTCAGCAATGGAACTCTCTGCCCCGGAGTGTGGTGGAGGCTCCTTCTTTGGAAGCTTTTAAACAGAGGCTGGATGGCCATCTGTCAGGGGTGCTTTGAATGCAATTTTCCTGCTTCTTGGCAGAATGGGGTTGGACTGGATGGCCCATGAGGTCTCTTTCAACTCTAGGATTCTAAGTGAACCTACTTTGTGGCTGAGGCTGGCTCTCTTTTCTTGAAGGCGGCCAATCACACGACGTCCTCCTTTGCGTAGCCGCCAATCATCTTTCACATCGGTACTTCAGTGAGGTCTGGAACACAGAGATGGGGAGGGAGAGAAAAAGGGCAGGACGATTATTCCTTATTCATTTGGGATCAGATCAGGTTAAAAGCACAATACATCTGCCATTTGGAAACATGGAGAATGAAGGAAAGGAAACAAAACAGCACCCAAGGATAGTCTGTATCACGCCAGGCATTATATCTGACCTGGAGGGATTGCTTGCACTGGGAACTATATTGGGACCATTAATTTGCATTGAATTGGTTGGAGGATGCTCAACCATATGTGAGTTGGCAACCTTGTGTTTGAACAAGCTGGGACTGCAAATCCAGCATGGACAATTTGTTGTGTGCTCCCCTTAGCAAGATCTGCTGCCACTGTCTTCCTGAGGTTGAGACAGTGTGACTTGGACAAAGTCACCCAGTGGGTTTTCATGGCTGGACGAAAATTCAAACCCAAAGGTGAATGGTCAAACCACCACAACATGCATTGGGCAAAATTGAGCCCCCCCCCCCCCACGTGTTTTGGACTCCCAACTCCCACCATTCCTAACAGCCTCAGGCCCTTTGCTTTTCCCCCTCCGCTGCTTAAGTGGCAGAGGGGGAAAAGGAAGGGGCCTGAGGTTGTTAGGAATGGTGGGAGTTGGAGTCCAAAAAATCACAGTGAATTCTTCCCAAACCTCTTGTTCAGTTGCTGATCAATTCCTTCCTTGCAGAGTCTACATTTGGGGATCTGTTGTTGACTTTTCAATCCTGGCTTTGATGGCCTTGGTTCGAATGGCGTGTTCTTGGGCTGCCAGAATCAGGCCTTCCTTTGTCCCCTTTTTCACAGTCCCACTTGTTAGCCACAGCCATGTTTTTTCTTTGTCAATTTGGCTCTCGATTTTTCCCAGGAACTGTCCATGGAGAGCCTTCTTTGGCCAGTTTTCTCTTCTGCTCTGGGTTGTTGTTATTGTTGTTGTTATTATTATTATTTTACTGACACAAAAGCAAAGTATGTCACAGCAAGTCACAATTCAATGACTTCCCAAGCGTCTAGGATTGTGTGATGTATTTTCGAATGATGTGCACAGATCCAGGTAAGGTGGCCTTTTGCAGCTGACAGATCGTGATTTTGTCGATGTTTATTGTTTCCAAATTATTATTATTATTCAATTATTCAGTTCTTGTGGGTTTCTTTGGGCTATATGGCCATGTTCTAGAGGCATTTCTCCTGACGTTTCGCCTGCATCTATGGCAAGCATCCTCAGAGTGAGGTCAGACACTACCTCTGAGGATTCTTGCCATAGATGCAGGCGAAACGTCAGGAGAGAATGCCTCTAGAACATGGCCATACAGCCCGAAAACCTACAACAACCCATATTATTAATTATTATTATTATTATTATTATTTTACTGACACAAAAACACAGTATGTCATAGCAAACGAGATCTATATGCTGTATTTGTATCACAAAATCACAAGTCGAACACTTCCCAGGCGTCTAGGACTGTGTGATGCATTTTTGAATGATGCGCGCAGATCCAAGTCAGGTGTCAGTTATTAAATTATTATTATTATTATTATTATTATTATTATTATTATTATTATTATTGTGTGTATAGATAGATATGTATTCATTCTTTGTATTTAAAAAAAACCTTGTACCCTTACTTTCCGGATACCCCTCGTAACTTTTACTAAAGTCTGTGCCAACCTGGGTTAGCTTCTCCTGTTTCTCACACAACACGGCAATAACATAAAATGGGGATAAAGCAAAGCACGGCATCTCTAATCGCCCAATGCCTGGCTGAGTGTGATGGACACTGAAAGAAATGAGCCACAAGGAAGAAGGAACCTTTTCCCACGAGAGGGAGGAAAACAGGGGTGCTGCTCCCTCTGTGTGACTCACCCATTGATGCCCATATAATCCTCCCCGCCTGCCGCCCTCCCCAAGTGTGTCTGGGTCTGCGTCCCGCCACAAGCCAAAGCTCAAGCCAGACGCACCGGCCTGTCTCCTCCTCCTTGGGGGCCCATGAGGTCAGAGTGGCCATGCTCTTCCTCCCAGACGGTGTGGGCCTCTCTCTCTCGCCCGCCTGGACACACACGTCACCCACCGTCCAGCGCCAAACTCGGACCTGGCGAGAAGGTGGGCGGCTTGCGCTCCCATGCTTCCTCCTTCCTTTCTTCCTTCCTTCCTTCCCCAAACATGGCTGCACTTTGGACCCCAACGGGCCTGCACCAATGTGGGATTCCAAGTGCCCTCCTCCCAACCTTTAGTTCTGGGCAGGGAAGGACGGGGGCCAAACCGTGAGCAAACAGCAAGCGCAGCACACACACAAACACACACAAACACGAAAGCCAAAGACCACGGCTATTTCTGGAACAGCTGAGGTTGAGAGCTAAGTTTGGCTGCTGGCAGGGTGGGGCCAGACAGCTCCAAGGGACATTAAAAATGGGAAAGGGGGCTGCCTCGACTATTTATTCCCTAGGTGGGAAACTGTCGGTGTTTCACCTCTGCATCACATTTTCGGCCTATTTCCAGAGTACATGGGAGCAAAACTGTTTACCTGTCTGAAGGTATCTCCTTCTATGAACCACCAAGGACAGTGTATTGTCGAAGGCTTTCATGGCCGGAATCACTGGGTTGTTGTAGGTTTTTTCGGGCTATATGGCCATGGTCTAGAGGCATTCTCTCCTGACGTTTCGCCTGCATCTATGGCAAGCTTCCTCAGAGGTAGTGAGGTCTATTGGAACTAGGAAAAAGGGTCCTTTGTCCCACCCTGGTCATTCCACAGATATATAAACCCTTTTTCCTAGTTCCAACAGACCTCACTACCTCTGAGGATGCTTGCCATAGATGCAGGCAAAACGTCAGGAGAGAATGCCTCTAGACCATGGCCATATAGCCCAAAAAAACCTACAACAACCCACTTAGGACAGTGTTTCTCAACCTGGGGGTCAGTACACCTGGAGGTGTCATGAAGGGGGTTTCAGAGGGGTCGCCAAAGACCATCAGAAAACACATTATTTCTGATGTTCTAAGGAACCCCTTTGGCAGGGAAGGCTAAAGATCTCTCTGCCTGTCTTTCTCTTCCTTTTTGGTGTTGGTGAACTACAACTCCCCAAACAGCCCCCCCCCCCCCATCCCATCAATATTCAATGTTGACCATGTAGGTAGTATGCCATGTTTCATACAGATCCATTTTGGGTTGCATTCAGTGTGCTCTTTGATTGAAAGGGAACTGTAAATCCCAGCAACTACAACTCCCAATCGTCAAGATCTATTTTCCCCAAACTCCCCCAGTGTTCACATGTGGGCATATTGAGTATCTGTGCCATGTTTGGTCCAGATCCATCATTGTTTGAATCCACAGTGCGCTCTGCATGTAGGTGAACTACAACTCCAAAACTCAAGGTCAATGTCCACCAAACCCTTCCAATATTTTCTGTTGGTCATGGGAGTTCTGTGTGCCAAATTTGGTTTGATTCCATCATTGGTGGCATTAGGAATGCACTGTGATTGTAGGTGAACTATAAATCCCAGCACTTACAACCACTGTGAGGAGGTGTCAGAGGGCTCACCAAAGAGTATCAGGAAACACAGTATTTTATCTTGGTCATGGGGGTTCTGTGTAGGAAGTTTGTCCCAATTCTATACGTGGTGGGGTTTGATTGTAGGTGAACTATAAATCCTGCAACTACAACTCCCAAATGTCAAGGTCTATTTTCCCCACTCCCTCAGTGTTCACATATGGCATATTGAGTATCCGTGCCAAGTTTGGACCAGAGCCATCATTCTTTGAGTCCACAGTGCTCTCTGGATGTAGGTGAACTACAGCTCCAGAACTCAAGGTCAATGCCCATCAAATCCTCCCAGTATTTTCTGTTGGTCCTGGGAGCTCTGTGTGCCAAGTTTGGTTCAATGTCATAGTTGGTGGAGTTCAGAATGGTCTTTGATTGTAGGTAAACTTTAAATCCCAGCAGCAACAACTCCAAAATGTCAAGGTCTATTTTCTCCAAACTCCACCAATGTTCACATTTGGGCATATTGAGTATTTGTGCCAAGTTTGGTCCAGATCCATCATTGTTTGAGTCCACAGTGCTCTCTGGATGTAGGTGAACTACAACTCCAGAACTCAAGGCCAATGCTCATCAAACCCTCCCTGTATTTTCTGTTGGTCCTGGGAGCTCTGTGTGCCAAGTTTGGTTCAATGTCATAGTTGGTGGAGTTCAGAATGGTCTTTGATTGTAGGTAAACTTTAAATCCCAGCAACAACTTCCAAAATGACAAAATCATGAGCTGCAGAAATTGCTGACCAAAAGGTTGGCCGTTCGAATCTGCAGGATGGAGTGAGTTCCCGTTCTTAGCCCCAGCTTCTGCCAACCTAGCAGTTCGAAGACATGCAAATGTGAATAGATCGATAAGTACCACTTCTACGGGAAGGTAACGGCGTTCCGTGCAGTCATGCTGGCCCACATAACCTAGAAGGTGTCTACGGACAATGCCGGCCGGCTCTTCAGCTTATGAATGGGAGATGACCACCACTCCCCAGAGTCGGACACAGCTAGACTTAATGTCAAGGGAAACCTTTACCTTTACTATGGGCTTTAAGTGGAGCAGGTTGCACTTTGTTCCCCCCTAATTTATGAATATGTGAAGAGAAGCTGAAGTGGACAGGAGTGGAAATTAAACTTATTTTTGAAGGTGAACAGATACCAACGGCACTGCGGGAAGAAAATAGCGTATTATCAGAAAATAAAAAGGAAACACCCCACTCAGGAACGATATGGCTGACCATTGTGGGTACTTCGTGTTTGTGGATATGTCTTAGGTGCACAGCACAAATAGGATTGCAAGGGACACGACACCATGTGTTAGAACTCCAGAGGTAAATGAAGACACGGGAAGGCTGTGTGCCAAAGATACTGGGTTTTTTTTCTGACACAGACATGTGCCCCAGACATGACCTCCATGCTGTCCCCCCCTCCCCCACTCCACACACAATCTCTTTGTGTCAAGCCACATCTGTCCCATATGTTCAAAGC